TTTCCGATTCTGTTGATTCGTCCTGATCACTTTGAAGTTCTTCACTTTCTTTTTCTCCAATTTCCTGATTTTCGGGCATCTGCAAAGTTTAACAATAAGAAATTACTATTATGGGTTAACTGCTATCTAATTCCTTTATATAGCTTAGGAAGCCTTTTTGATTAAAGCACACGCAACAAAAATGTTAAATTACCGTTCTCTGTTCTTCAACTTCTTCATTGCCATGCGGTGGTGTATTTTCATCTTCGTGCTGCACGTCTTCTTCTTGAACCGTACAAACAAGTTCTGGATTTTCACTGTTTACACTGATGGTAAGATGGGATGGGCCTTGGGTGTTCTGACTTGACTCTTCATTGTCTTCAGTTACATGAGAAGGTCCAGCTTTCAAAACACCAGTAACCACAGATTCTGTAGACACCTAATGAACCATGAATATGTGATTTATGTTACTAGGACGGATGCGAATAGCGAACTGCATTCCGTTTATATATGAATATTTGCCATATCTTTTTAAACAGAGGTAATTATTACTCACCTTTTTGTGTTTTTGTGAACAAACGAATGGGTTCGCTGGCGCTCCAACAGTCTCGTACGCAATAGATGTTCCCACCTTTAGCAAATTTGCATGGTACTTTTTGTTATGTTCTTTTCGATAATCGTCATCAAACGTTTGCTGGCAAACCAGACATCGGAGTTTAGTTCGCTTGCGTTTCAGTTGGTTCTTTTCCATCATTTTGCAATGACACTGAAATGCTATGATGACTACTGGTGCAATGTAAAACTTCAATACAACTCCTTTCACTTCTATATATACCCAAATATTCCAGCATTATTAGGTGGAAGTATTAGTGGGAGCGCCAACCACAAGGTTATGCGTCATAGTTAATTTGCATATTTTGCGCAATAGCATCAGATTAGCTCATTCTAGAAAACCACAAGTTTGTAAAATAGAACGCAATTTAGGGCACTCCTTAAAAATTTGTCGAAAAAGAATTTTCTTGTGGTTTAGGTTAGACATTTAGACGTCAAGTACTGTAGTCTGTAGTGGGAGCTACTGTATACTGATCCAAGTTTTACTGTACAAATATAGGTTGAAATATATTGTGGTAATGACGTACACTGGTTGAATTTGGTTGAATTGAACTGTAGAAAGTTGAGAAATACAGTCCTGTTACTCCCATACGTTTTATTAGTAAGACTGATAAAAATACCCGAGAAGGGCGAGAATTTACAAAACTAATATGACAAGCTTCTGCGGAGGAAAGTGAAATTTGAGCATAAGCATTTTCAACGTGCCACGCTTGCTGAATCACAATTCATGATACATTTGACGTAGGCTATGCATAGCCCAGTGTAGCTGACTCGGGCAGTAAACTGACGTAGATATAGGTTAAAATTAACTACTTGAAAAATATGACAGTTGAGTTCAACCTACATCTATAAACTCGTAATAATTGTTGCTTTTATTAGTTGTACAGACAAGTAAAATGATAAAACTCCAGGCTCTAGAGTACTTGGTTAACTTATACACAGATATTATTATGTAAGTGTTAATTATCCTCTGCGTCATATCACTTAAGAGACATTGTTTTTAATCAGATTAGGCTTTGAGCTGAGTGGATCGTATTACCGTATGGACGGGTGACTCTCATAATCTTGTCAGCAATCTTGCGCATTTTTCCCAACCTGACATTTTGTTGGAATTTTCTTATTTTCCCAACATTCTTATCGCTGTTTTTTAATTCTATTGATATTTTTGCCTTTAAATATTCTCCCGACATTTTGAAATTTCTGCAAAAAAGCATTGTCTACATTGCATCCAAACGTTAAATTTGCTGACAGAAGTCCACGTTTTGCCGACAGGCATAACATTGAGGGGGTCAGGCACCCCCTGGACCCCCCTTCGCTATGCCCCTGATCACATTTCATATGCTAGCGTTGAAAAATAATCATGCATGCGAATTACAGTACTATACATATTTTGATTGGTCTAAAAAAATCATGATTCTGCACCCAAACCATTTCCTGCACAAAATATACTAAAGTTGCCATCCATAAGTATAATTTCCGTATACCAGAGGCGGAAAAAGTATCGGACCCTGGGAACCTAGTTCCCAGAAATTTTTTTGAGTTGAGAGTTTTCCAGAGAATATTTCAACATTTTGAGACAACTCTGTTTACTCAACTTACAACTATTCTACTTCATTTACACTGTACACACTAACATCAGCAGCCGTTTAAATACTTGACAGAAATTAATTCTGTTACCCATCCCTGCCATCACAATCATGAGGTAAAATGGTAAATATATGCTCTGCAGAGTCTCCAATAAAATGCAAATTAGAAAGTAAACTTGTAAATAAAATATGCAATGAAATAAGCTTCAAGTGCCAGTGCTATATGCTCTTAAAATACTCATTAAAAGTTCATAAACCTTGTGGTGTGACTTTATGTGGAGTGACATGTGGAGTGACCTTATATCTGATAAAACTCATCTTCATTAGTATTCTTTACATAATTCTTCATCCTAATTAGTACATGATTATATAATTGTTCATTCTAATTATAGTATTCTTTTGTAGTCGTATTTTAAGCTATTCAAAACACTCGACTCGCGTTTTATCATATCTAAAACACTTGACTGCGCCTCGCGTTTTAAATATGATAAAACACTCCTTCTCGTGTTTTAAATAGTACTTATTATACTGCTATAATACTAGTATAATCACAACATTATGACAAAAAAATGCAAATCAGACAAAAAGTCAATTGATGGAATAAAGAAGATTATAGGACACTTAGTTGAGCGTTAGATTCTTACTAGTTGATCATAACTCATAAAAGTGGTATGTAACAGACAACCATTGTGATGCACGAGCATACGAAAACCAGCCTAAGAAAATTTCTAGCCTTTGACCCATGTTCCCAGAAAGAAAAAAATATTTCCACCCCTGCCGTATACTAGAGTATAATGTGACAAAACATTGATTCACTACTGTATAATTTAATTCAATATATTCATTTCAAGTCTCTACAATATTATCTCTTATAAATGGTGGAGGTGGAGTTTAATTTTCACTGCTTTTATTGTCAATTTAGGCCTAAATGAAATAGGAATATTTTGCACAAACTTGTAGAAGATTAATATAATAACATAGATACTGATACATGTTTAGAAAATCATGTTTGGAAGAGGATATAATTTATATATTATATATACCCTGAAAAAAGCTATACATGCAAATATTTTGCTTCTGTCTTTAAATAGAACTTGCATGCATTTATATCTTCTTCACTTAATGGTTATAAGTTCGTGATTTGACATGATGTTGGGCTGTTCTAATGTTCTCTAACTTCTAACGTGTTTTTTGTTCTATAACTATATTTTTTAGTTAAGATGCATGTATATTAGTTACTCACTTTTGAAGGAACTGTTTTAGAGTATCACTTCGATAGGCTGGTGGTCTTGACATCCAGGCACTGTTGGCATTGGGATCATCCTCATCGCTAGACATATGGTCTTTTGTCAAAGCATGAAAAGCCTTCACCTCTTTCTCTTTTTCGGGATCAAGACAAGATTTCCTCTGGTTGAATTTCTGCAATTATAATCAAATTATATATATATATCTATATTATTTTGGCATCCCAAAATATGTTACTAAATTTGAACATGATAATACCCACGTTGACACTTTAGCAATAAAAATACAAGAGTGATGTATTAAGTCTAAGTTTAAATATTCCTCTGTCTAATGAAAGTTTTTAATAAAAGGGGTTCGCTTTTTCCGAGGACTTTACTAGGTTGTTTGCTTGCTGTTACAAGATTTTTACCATAACTATAAGTGCAAGGGCGTGAGGTTCATGAAGAAATGCTCTAACCTCTGTCACTTACTCTGCTTTTTCTGTTAGCCATTTTCATCCTTGATTTTGAATCTTCATCCCACATCCCAAAGCGACTCATCTTAAGTGCTCGTGAAACTTCTTGGCTGTACCTGAAAACATGCGCCATTGGTAATAATAGCCAAAATTTGAAACACCAAGGACAAGTACTGGATACTGTGCTAATTAATAATTCAAATTCAAATACTATTAAAAGGGCAATCACATAATTAAAGGACTCACATTCAACTTTTAGCTCGTCAAATCCCTTTGCTTTTAATTGTTTGGCAATGAAACTTGTGACTGCCTTATTATGGTTGCTTGTTATGCTGAAAAACAAATGATTGCATCTATTGTTTATCATTAAAATAGATATCTTGCATGTCTCGCGATATTGAATTAATACTGTTGAGCCTGTTTGAAGCAGTTTCATATTATTTCAACAACGTACTGTATACTGCTAATTCAATTAAGATTGCCATTCTAAAACGTACACCTTAAACTCTGACCATAGAAAGGGTATGATGGATTATTTCGTATTTAGCCATGAGAATTTGCCAGGTAACAATGCTTAAATTAAGGTATAACAACTTCGATAAAATACGCACTTGCTACAAAGGTATACGTAATTTTTTTTAGTTTAAGAGTCAAAATAAGTAGTAGCCCGTCATCCTTTTTGCGCAAAGAGTTCAAGTTTTACACTTTTTGGAAGACATGCAACCTTAATTGAATTAAGTTATTTGTATGATTGCATGGCGATAAAACATATAATAGTTTTTTTTGTGGAAACACAGCATAAATTTATTACTGCAGTAATAAATTTATGTGGTATTTCCACAAACAAAACTATTAATTGAATTAGTTGTATGTTAATATGAAAACCGTTATATTGGTTTCTTTCGTCCCGGCTGCCATGTAGTTTATGGACCTCATCCTGTTAATATTAAAAGGCGTTAATCTAATTCAAATGTCGTTCATCCAGGTCAAACTTTAACTTTTTCTAGACAAGGAGTGAAATTAAACTTTAGTATACATGCAGCTATTTCGATTAAGGTTGTCCCCGAGCAAAGCGGAAAAGTCGAATACGAGCGTGAAAGGCTTGCTGGAAATCGCTAAAAAATTGTTGATTTTTTAGCGATTCCCAGCAAGCCTTTCGCACTTGTATTCGACTTTTCCACTTTGTTTAGGGACAACTTTAATAGATGATTCCAGCTATCGACTAATTTTTTATCTAGACAAGAAAGACAAAATATATCATTATAGTTCAAAAGAGTATAATAAAATTATTAAAATGGCAAAGTTTGTTTGCAAAATGTTGTAAAATACGGAAAATATAGCCCTGTGAAATTAGCAAATTTTGAGTATTTTAGTAATTTGGGGCAGTAAAAATAGCCACTTTCGGCTCAAAAATTGTTATTTTCATTGCCAATTATTTTTATTGCTAATTGCTAATTTCACAGGGCTATATTTTCCATACTTTACATTTCGCAACCAAAGTTGGCAATTTTACTAATTTTATGATGAGCTATAATGATATATTTCGTCCTTCTTCTCTAGCTAAAAAAATAGTCGATAGCTGGAATCATATTATGCAAATTAATGACCGCTTAACAAAAGACAAGCAAGATGTTTGAAATACTTGGGATTACAACAAGATGAGTCATAATAGACTCATATTTTTCATTTGCCTATATATTGCCGTAATAACAAGAAATTGTATTAGAAAACATAGTATTAGAAAAACATTAAAAGTTTATATATCTTATAAAATGACTTTTTGCTTGTAACTGACATGATTTCACTCCGGGCATTCTTTCCTGACTCCCAGGCATTCACGCCGTAGACAACACGCTTTTACAATGAAAATGCATGTGCTATGACATTTTATTATAAAGAAATGATTTTTCATTCAAACATTATCTTATACAATAAATTTTTCGCTTATAACTTATATGATTTCACTCCGGGCATTCTTTCCTGACTCCCGGGCATTCAACGAATCTCTCTGGGCATTGCCGCACGTTCTTTAGTAGGACCCCATATATGTGAGTTTCGCTACAACTTTGCTCCAACTAATTCTAAAATACAAACAAAATACTACAATTAAAATAGTCGTATACAGTCTTGTTTCTAGCTTAGATCTTGAAAATTCAGCGCACAAGTTGATTTGTGTTATGTTCACAAGTGACTTTTGGCATTTGTTGCCACACAATGGTCAAGTTTGCATGTTTCGGGAATTCAAGATAATTTTCAAACAATTAGTATTTCAGGATCTGGCATATAGGTTAATTCTTACGGATATTCATACTGATACTTTGTTTCAAAGAGAGTTTCTTGCAGAATATATCAAGCCAAATTGCACGCCCTCACTTATCATCAATCAAAAGTTGACATGTATGAATGAGAATGTAAATTTCATGTAAACTTAATCGTGCATGAGCTGCGGAAAATTGTGCTAAAAGTGCGGATACGTACGTGAAGATATATATCAAAGATATGTATCGAAACTGATTAAGAACAGATACCGTAAATTAACGACTTACGCCGAATGCCAAAATTCTAAGTGCAAAAATTGCATACCTGAATGGTCAGAGAATCCTTCGTGTGCTTCCATTTTGCCTTACATGCTTCGTCTTGAGTCTGTTCTTCTCTGGAAGACTGCTCGTCAAGCTTCTGTTCAATGCGATCTAGTCTGTCGGACAAACTCGATAGCATTCCATTCGTTGATTCTAATTTTCGCAATACATGAGCGAGTTGTTCTTGACATTCCGATAAACTAGATGCCATAGCATTGTCGTATTGCTGTGGTCGGGAAGTAAGAGGGGTCTCAGCGTCAGATCTTCTTACCGTACTTAAAGGTGGAGTACTTTGCATTCTAGAACTGCTACTATGGGTGCTGCTACTGCCATGAGGAAATCGATAAAACCTTGAACCATTCATAGTTGCGTGCGAAGAAAGAAAATTCAAATAGTCCTTACAAGCCGAGTTACAAGCTTTCGAATTTGTGACTTGTGACAATGCAAGGTTCAAATTTCGCGTGTGTCCTCAAAATAGCTACTCTCATAACCAGTACTATGGTGTCATTTATAAAGGCCTGGTTGCTAAGTAGAGTGTGTTTGGTGTTTGGCATTTCGCAAGGTAAAATCTTGGGACGTGCTGGCTATAATTCCACAGATATAAATACACTGTAATATTTAATATTACACAGAAAGTAATATGGCCGATAAAGAACGTGTTTTGTGTGGACACTGTGGCATTTTGGTCTCGAAACGGACTGAAAGAGAGCACTGACTGCTTGTCAAAAAGCTGCCAAAGGTTAGTACTTAGAAATCACATCACAATTCATAGTATCTGAGCAATTTTCAGCAGTATTATTAAATATCTTAGTTACTCATCTCGTTTTATTTTCACAATTACCTGTGTATTGAGTCATATAGGACCTTTTCATTTTTTTAACGATATACATGGAATACTTTAACAGATGTATGGTCAGACTCAGATAATTCAGAGCTTCAGTTTGGCAATGATGGTGTATTTGTCGCAGATCAACAGTCAAAATGTAAGTTTATATTGAACTCATTTACTTTTAGAGATTTGGTAAAAATATATGAAAATCTGCAGGCTCTACCCCCATGTGTAAAAGAGGTCATGTGCTATATAATGCCCATTTACAGTAAATATATAATGAATATTAACCGTTTAAGTGGCAATGCACCCCAATGCATGCTACTTTAGTATTTTACTCTGTCTAATGCCAGACGATTTTACTCATCAAGTTAACTCTCTTGAACTTTGAATGCGGTCAGGAGGCTAGGGTCAACAAGCAATGTCCACAAATTTTCACAGACTGTAGTACAAGCGTAATACAGTCTGTAACACAGGCTACGATGCACCCTACTGTACTTTTAGTATTTTACTTTGTCTAAATCTAGTGCCAGACAATTTTACTTGTCAAGTGGGGAGTTCCACCACTCGATATGTTAACCAAACAATCTGCCTATACTGTAAATGCATCCTCTTTACCCTTTAAGTGGCAATGCACCCTATACTTCAGTATTTTACTCTGTCTAATGCCAGGCAATTTTGGAATACTTGCCAAGTGAAGAATGCTGACACTCAATGGGATAAAGTACTCCATACCGGTTCCTAATCAAAGGCCCTTTCTCAATATACGAGTATCCAGAAACCTAGCTGAGTAACCGTAACCATAACATTTATTTTACATATAGTATATCTTGCTTGGCAAGACATGTCGTAAGGGCCTGTTTTGTAGGGATCATTGGAAATAGATTTCAACCGGTTTCACAATGTGACCTTGTGCTGCATTTTTCACAGTCGTTCCTGGTTAGGTCTTAAAATGTATATATACTCACTTGGATTACAAACCCTAACATTCTAATATTAATTCCACCAAGTGAAGTGCAAGAATCCAAAACTTAAATATTTATTGCTTTTGGCTAATGTAAGACCAGGCTGCATTTTATTTTTTTTAATGAAATGTTCTTAATTGGTGTGTACTTTGAAGCATCACTCAATTACATGTACAAACCAGCATATTTATGCTGATCAATATGTCATATATTAACCTTTACAAGGGATGCATCAGATATAGTTAATTAAATCAGTTATCCGGTATTCGGCCAGATAATAAAAGATATCCGGCTGGATACCGGGAGTTAAATTATATAAGTACATGTAAAGTATCAGGTAAGTGGCTTTTGCAGTCATGTATGTGCCATTAATATTCACATTTTTAAAGGACTACGAGTCTACCAGCCTCATCCCGATCATCTCAAGTTAAGATATGATGAACACCTTTCTTCTCTTAGCAACTTAATTCATTAAGTTGCAGACTGTTGCAACATTGGCACTCCCCAAGTTGCAAGGAAAATGGCGAATTTTAGTTACTGTCAACTTCTGTCAACTGCTTTTACAAAAATACCCATATCTCAAGATCAATGTTATAAAAAACCTTGAAATTTGGCAGTGGGTTAAAATGATAAATGATTAATCAATATTATTTTAAATGAGCTCCCACACTTAAATATATCATTAGATTTTTGGGTGAGAATTCTTGGTTTGTGTAAATTTAGTCTCTTGTTTCTTCATGACACCCAACATCTGAAGGGCAATAACTCATATAACCCAACATAAATGGACAAATATTTTTTGATTCCTGGATTGGTACACATTTATATTCAAATTAGTTTTCAGCTTGTAGGGTATAAATTACAAATGAAGCGCTATAAAAATTTGCTTGGGCATAGCTCAGGCACACTCAGGACATCTAGTTTACAATGGAGAACTTGAACTTAAGAACTTGTTGTTCAAATCCAAAAACTCTGTAACCCAAAAACACAGTGTTTGTACCTCTTTGAAGTTTTTAAATACCTCAAATATGTTTGAAAAAACACGAAGTACAAAAATTACTAATTAAAATATAAACAAAGGATGAAAAAGGTGAGAAAATGTTAAAATATTTGAGGTGTTTTTAATTCAGACTTTGACAGCCGGCATTTTCAAACGCAGTGTGCGGTGACAAAACAAAAGACTTTTTTATTTCGCTAGTAAGAGCACTGTAATCGTCAAAAAGGGATAACACTTTTGAATATTCATCAGGTAAGAATTTTAAGTGAAATTCCTTTTGTTTCTGTTGAGAAAACAACGGATTTGTGGCCAAAATGTTGTGTGCGCCAATGTAGGTTGCTGTAAAATGTCAGACAGGCGGTTTCTTTTGAAATCTGATAAAATGAATAATCTAATATTTAGGCAAGTACATTAATTTAATGGCTTCCCACAAAAGAAGCCATTTCAGAGAAGAACGGCATTTTGTAAACTACTGTCCTGACCTATTTTAGAACTTTTCCTTCAGGTAATCGATGAGTACTTCTTAGAAAATGAGTGTACATTAACTTTATGATGTGCTTTATTGATTTAAAAATTTTATGGGGATATATGAAGCAATAAACAGTATTTTGGAAACTTTTCAAATCCCTGTCATGAAGGTCAGAATTCACACATGCCAAGTAACAGCATAATTCAATACACTGATTTTAAACCACATCTCTGAAATGAGAGCTCATTTCGAGACAAAGTTTATAGAAACAGATATAGTATTCATTGTAGAACATTCTACTTAGTTTTAATGCGGTTTTACTCGAAATTTTTCTTGCCAAAAATGTATATACACGCACATGACAAGTTGAACCTACTGTCTTCTGAAAGTACTTTGGCTAAAATAACAACTTGAGCAAGAATACCAACAGTAGGGTCACGAAAACAGTCGAAATCATGCCATAAAATGCACAAAAAGTTCTTCTAAGTTTTAAACTAGATTGAACTTGCTTTAATGCTATATCGAATTTCATGAAAACATGCCAGGTGTATTTTCATTAAAAAACACACTCAAAAAAATCTACTCACTTGGATTTAGTGTTCATGTTTCTTGCGATTTCCCACTTCACTTTTCCGTTAGATTGAAAGAAATTGCTGTTTTTCTGGCTGAAAATCGTGCGACTTGATTTGGACAAGAACTTGACTTGAAACATATGCACACTCCTTTATGTTTTACAACATATTTTATATGTAAAACGTTTTAAAAACCTCTTCTTTTTCATCCTTAAAACTTGCTGCAAAGTCCCATCTTGTGACACTTTGCGGTTGTCACAGGTTTTGTAAAAAAATAAAGTTTTAAAATCGAAAATCTTCGCAAAGTTTTGATCAATTTTCTCGCATGATGTATCGTTTGAAAGCCAGAATTTTGCACTTTATACTCGTGACCGTTGCTAGGCAACCTGACATACCAAATCAGTCCTGGTACACTGGTATTCTGTCGTTATATGTACATGAATTGAATGCATTGGGTTCACACTGTTAAACTTAAGGTGATTTATCAAGGCCTCTGCACTTGTTTCTAAGTTCCTTCGCAATGCATGAAATGTCTTTTGACCCAAAAAAGAAATGTGACGTCACAAATTAGTATTTGCCTCCCAAATTAATTCCTGGCGGCTCCACTGCAGTAAATTGTCGTTTTAATCCACTGGAATATACCATTCAATTTGACAGTATTTGTAAATGCAGTTAACAGTTAAAGTACCATTATGAACCATCAACACCTGACAGAAAATTTTTCAGGTTCCTCATGCGGTCCCAGAAAATAGAATAATTTTCCAACCCTGTGTACAAGATATAAAAATTTTAAATTTACAGGATGTTGATTTGCCTGGTATCTGGCTGTGGTACTATACACCTTTAATAGACAGGAGCAGAGAAATATGTTTGCTAAAAAGCTTGCATATACTGTGTGTCTGTATATATGAACATGTTTCACTATTGGTTTGATAACTACAGCTAATTTAGGTCTAGACATAGTGACGTACTAATAATCAGTAGGGTGCATCATACGCCCCTACTATTTACTATTAGCCCTACCTTTTTTTTGCTGGTGAGGTTCATCCTAAGTAATAAAACTGTGAAGTTTAGAATTGCTTGGACAACTTTTTAGGGGTAGCAGGTGCCCCGTTCCTATAATGGCATGTACAATAGAATGAAAATAGCCCAGATGTGCAATATCTTAACTTAAGATGAACATAGAGACTTGACTTTGGTATCGAAATATGCAGAATTCCCAAGTTTATGTCACATGTTAATATTTTATATGTCTAAAAGCTTTATTTTACAAGTTATCCTTTATAACAGTCAAATTTGAGCATTTGGTCAGTTTTTGTATTATATTACGTTACACAACCAATTAAATTTTTCCTTATTTGTTAATAATATTGATAATATTGTGTAGAGTAACTGTAAAATATGGCATGTTATCCTCTGCACTGTACTAGTTTGTAGTTCTACACAATCTACCATTAATATAAAGATCATTAGTAGTTCAGTACATTTAAATATTGGTGCATGTTTCATTGTTCAATTTAAAGAGTGAGGTACCATGAAGATGAAAACAATTTTCTCTTTCTTGCATTTGGTAGTGTATGTCTGGAGTTTTCAACTACCTGCAATACTCGCTGGTAGCGTTCTTCCTTAACAGCTGTTCCCAGAAAATCGTAACCAAGCTTGACACCTCTCTCTGCAGCATCGTTTACCACACTGATGCTATTTACAATGAGCTTAGCTTTTTTGTGCCCATCATCATCACTCTCCCAATCAGTTAGAGATTTGCAAAGGAAATCTGGTTTTATCTTCATTATTTTGAAAAAAGACCAAGAATCTATCCCCACATATCTAGATAGGTCTCCTGTTACCTTTGTTGGCATCATAGGAAATGTTGGCTTTCCAAACCCTGTACCATGCCTCTTTGTACATAGACCACCTTCTCCAAGCTTCAACATCTTGGTCACCATCTTCTCTTGTCAACATTTATTGTGTTGCTGAAAAGAGCTAATGGTACAAGTTCCTCTGTAAGATACCACATATGGTTACCAAAACACTTGATAGCTGCCACAGCAATCACATCATCTATTTCCTTATAGTTGATGAGAGAATTGATGAGTAGTTGATCATTTTTTGGTGCAGTCGAGGGTACAGGTGCTGTCAGCCACCAGGGGATATAACAGAAAACAACAAACTGAACAAAACGACGTATATTCTGGAGCTGACAAGTTGCAAATATAGCACCTCTTGGAAGTTCACCCAAAATTTTGGTACCCAATAGATCCATTTTAATGGCATAGAGAAGTTTTGCCATCCAACGAGCTTTGTGTAATGCACCAGGTCTGCTGAATGAAAAGCCTTCTAATGCTTCTACCTCATTTCCTTCACTCAGGTAAAGAAGGGCTAAAGAGACAAGTTCCTTGTAGCCTCCCCTGCTAAACGGCTGCTTCAGGTAGTTCTTGCACAGTTCTAAAACTTCACTTTTTCTTTCCAATAAATCAACAGGGAGTTCTGGAAAGTGAAGGTCTTTATTTTAGTGTGTAATGGATGCAAAATTCTCTTTAAATCTTTTAAATAGGAGAATTTCTGGACTTTTTGACACTTCAATTTTCAAGACATCCCACACATGAGTCAGAAGGATTTCACCAACATGGTGATGACATGCATACCATAAGAGGGGACGATTGAGTCTATTTTGTAGCGCCACACATGCAGCAGTTTTGCACCCTGTATTTGAGCTGGTCGTGTCGAAAACCATACCTGCCACACACTCAGCACAATTCCATTCCTCTATTAATTCAATGCTAACTTCTGAAATCAAATCCCCAGTCTTTTCTGTAGACTTGTGAGGAATTGCGGGTACTCCTAGCAGCTTTGTCCTGCCAACACCTGATAGAAGAACTAGTTATCTTTCTTGTTGACCAGCACCATCCAAGGTAGCCATCAATTTGTCATCCCAGTGGAGGTTTGCAGTGGATGGTGGAGTCCAATTTTCCTTAATTTTATCTGCAATTGTCTTGACAGTTTCAACTCTATATCTTTGTGTTGTTGCATAGCTAAGGCTAAGTTTAGATGGATCTCCATCAACTGCTGTGACAATGTCGTGCACAACAGAAGATATTGCAGAAGATGAAATGTTGTTTCTAACAAGAGATTGAACAACCTTAGGTGATTTTAGTATGTTTCGAGGAATAAAAACTGTCACACCAGTTTTGACATATCTCTTGTGGGATCTTTTAGCACAGAATATAGAGGATCAGGTGCTTCTTTAGCCTCTTCTTCATCATCACTACCGCTCAATGTGGCATTTGAACATGAAGTATCCATCTTACTTTCTTTTTGAATTTCAATCCTTTTAATTCCTGTTCTTTCCGTTCCTTAACTTTTCTTTCAGTTTCACTTAGTAAAAACCTTTAATGGGCACTTGAGTGATCTATAGTCGACAGTACTGTGTGGCAAATGGTTCAAATTAACATGAATATCAGTTGCCAAATAAGAATTGGTGAAAATTAGGTACCATTTGCAACAACTTAAACTTGATAACAAGACTATTGTTGATGGAACAAAGATAAGACTTGTCTGCTTGCATTTTGGCTTTGTATATTTATATCCACGTCCGCCATCTTTGTTTTGTAATACAGGAATTGATGTCTTTAAACATGGAATTACATGACATACTTAGTTCATTATTTGCAACCAAAACAAGACATGTAAAAATGTATACCAAATTATGAACATGCTCACTTTTTATACCAATAGTCCAATACTGTAATATGAAAACAACCTAAAAAATACGTTTTAGAGGATAACTTGTAAAATAAAGCTTTCAGACCTATAGAATATTAACATGTGACATATAAACCTGGGATTTCTGCATATTTTGATGCAAAAATCAAGTCTCTATGGTCTTCTTAAGTTAAGATATCCCTTACCAAACTCAGGGCCGTCGCGAGCGGGGGGGTGTGGGGGGGTGCTTCACCCCCCCAATAATTTTCGCAAGTCGGCCCCAGTCGGCAAATTGCTTCGTTACTGTTCGGCAAATTGCGAATTCGGCATTCAGCAAATTGTAAAAGTTAAGAACGAAGGCGATAAATAAAGCGATAAATTTTGGATTTAAAATAATGGTTTGTGTGGCCTTATACCATTTAAATGTATTTCTATTTTCTAGTAATAATATTAGTCTTTTATTTGTCGAAAATCGACGGGAGGCTGAAATGTGAAACACACGTTTCCGGGCATGTTCTTCGCTCGACTGCTCTTATAGCGAAGGCTCTTTATCAATTATGCGCGGTTCAAAACCCAAAAGAAAAAGAATAAAATTTTAGTGTCTTGAATGTAATTCGATTTTTGACGACTATAATAGAAACTTTATTATTTATTTCACGAGGGAAAACGTATTAACCATAAAAGTTATCTAATATACGGCCCGACGATTACCGTAAGAGGCACGAGCAAATTTGCCATAAGGGAAACCAAGTGCGAGTAGCACATAAAGACGTACCAGCTAATCCGTTTGAGACTGCAAAGCGCAGTCAAAGCCAAAGAGAATATTTTGAGTCGTCAGAGGCGCAAGATCCTCAAGAAGACTCCACAGGCACATGAGAAGAAGACCAAGAGAAAGACGAGCCACGCCACTGATAAGAACGGACTTGTCTTCTTTAGTTCTTTAGCGAAATTACTGTTAACTCTGATCAGCCTACAGTTTTGAAAGACATACCACATACAGCGATCGGTATCATCGATCGGTTGCATATGATCATATCCGTTTTACCGCTCTCTGATGCATAAAATTTAAACTCTTGGAAAATCGGATCGTACAAAAGCCCAGGTTAACACTATCCGGCACTATAAGAGTTTTAAGACTGCTCAAAATACAAAAAAATATTATAAATTGTCTATTCGGCGCCTGGGGATAAAAAAGGTCAAATTCATCAAATTGCCATGAAAATATTGAAATAAAATATCAATGCAATCACATGCAGATACTTGCATGGATACCCTGGTTCCAGAGGTTTATTCTTATTATTTTTATTGCGAAGGGGAGAGGAAAAATAAACCTCTGGTTGAAAGCGGCAATTGATTAATTGAGCTGCGCAAATCAGTTTGAATTAGGGTCAGATCCTGACTCTGTCTCCTGATTGGATGATTGTATTAAAGTTCTCTGATTGGTTCAAATAGAACATCTATAACCAATCAGAGAGCTTTAATACGATCATCCAATCAGGAGACAGAGTCAGGATCTGACCCTAATTCAAACTGATTGGCGCGGCTCAATGAATCAATTGCCGCTTTCAACCAGAGGTTTATTTTTCCTCTCCCCTTCGCAATGAAAATAATAAAAATAAACCTTTGAATGTTTGCATGGCGATAAAATATAATTGTTTTTGTTTGTGGAAACACCACGTAAATTTATTACTGCAAAGCTTTCGGTCCGTAAGCCCGGATCTTCATCAGTGCTAATAATATGTCATAACATAACATATTATTAGCACTGATGAAGATCCGGGCTTACGGATCAAAAGCTTTGCAGTCAATAAATTTACGTGGTGTTTCCACAAACAAAAAGAATTAAAAATAAACCTCTGGAACCAGGGTAATACTTGGAAAACTTTTCTGATTTTGCGGAGATGCGCGTCTGCACCACAGTCTAAGACACTCGCTACTCAGACTATATAATGCACACGGTACCGTTTCCGAGCGTTTTTCGGTTTTTGGTTGTAATTAATGCGTTAATTTCTGAAACTGAAAGTACCATTTTCACGTACGTTCTGTTCACACGAAAACGTATGACAACGACGTCAGGAAGCAAAAACGTTTCAAATAGTGAAAACGATGCCAAACATTCGTTCTCTATGTCTGAAACGTTTGGTCGTTTTGGCACTTTGTTATAGTGCAAACAGAAAAGTAGAAGGCGAAATTGAAATTCCGTGTTTGAATTTGGAAACGAAGACTATAAAAAACTAGTGCTTTGTCAGAAAATGTTGCGAGAAAAACGATCAATGTGAACAAGGCGCCTAAACGCTAAATTTTGAAAACGGCACTGCAAAAACGCTCAAAAACGTGACCCGTGTGCACATAGTTTCAGTCTCGATTTAGGACTTATGAAAACACAGTATAAATTATGTTAAACTTAAATTTTTTTCAGCTTTATATGTTTAATATAAAGCAACAACCCACGAACAGGCATCCATTTCAAAACAAGAGCCATATTGGTGTCCCTCAGTTACTAGCACATGCACCAATATGATTCTCATTACCTATATCTAACCTTTACAAACTTTTGAAAAACTCGGCAAATTCAACTAGCGTCACTCGGCAATTTGACCTTCGACACCTCCCCAATCCATATCCCTTCGCAACGGCCCTGACCAAACTGACATATATGTAAAATGTCTGCAAGTATCTGTCACATATCTGTTGCAGTACTGCAGCATAACTGCAACAAGGTCTACAATATCTGCAAAATATCTGCATAAAAGTTGCAGATATTTTGCAGATATGTTGATTATCTGTTAACATATCTGCAAAATATCTGCATAAAAGTTGCAGATATTTGCAGATATGTCAATTGTCTGTCAAAACATCTGCAAAATATCTGCATAAAAATTGCAGATATATGTAGATATGCCAATTGTCTGTCAATATAGTTATACAGTATCTGTATAACTACACAGCAAAAATAATTTCTTATTGAGAAAACAATTCTTACTTCAAGAAAACATTTGTTGAAATGAGAAACTAATTTTCTTAATTACAAAACGGATTTTCAAAATGAGAAGCACTTGATTTGCAAGACATTTTTTCTTGAAATAAGGAAAATAAAGAAATTACATTTTACGATTTTGTCATCTTCATATCAAATCATTTTCTTAATTAAAGGACATTGGCAACCAAAATTTTTATTGCTTCATCTGAAAGAGCATGAAAAAATAAGCCGGTTGGCCGTTTAATGCTCTATCCTATCTCATCTGGTTCCGAAGTTATACGCAATAATGTGCAAAATATAAATTGCTGATTCAGAACAACGTGTGACGTCATTAGTTGGGTAAGTATGTATATTGAATTGTAAACTAAAGCATAGCTAAGTTATTATTGGCTCAAATCAAATGAAATTTTGCATACAGATAGTACATGATGAGATGCATGGGAAAATACTTCTAATTTTGTTGTCAAGGCAACAGTTGTTTTCAGGCCTCTTACACTGATTTTGAATAACTAGTTGCATTTATCTATGTGTATGTCATTTTCGAATTATTATCATGCAAGTAAACTTTTGGCATGCATAGGTATGGTACACATACTTCTGATGTTATTTTAACCTTATCAGTACCATGAATAAAGCTGTTTTATAAAATTGGCGCAAGGGGCCTTGGAACAACATTGTTACCTTAGCAACAAAATTAGAAGCGTTTTTCAATGCGTCTCATCATGTACAATCAGTATGCAAAATTTCATTTAATTTGGGCCCATAATAACTGAGCTATGCTTCAGTTTACTATTCAATAAACATACTTACCCAACTAATGATGTCACACATTGTGCTGAATCAGCAATTTATATTTTGCACATTTTTGCATATAACTTCGGAACTAGATGAGATAGAATAGAGCATTAAACGGCCAACCGGCTTATTTTTCATGCTCTTTCAGATGAAGCAATAAAAATTTTGGTTGCCAATGTCCTTTAAGAAAATTTTTAAAACAAGAAATCAAATTCTCAACATAAGAAATAATGGTTAAATTATTTTTACTTAAATTTTCTCGAAGAATGAAAATAAATTTGTTAAAATTTAAATATAAAATCTTTTGCAATTTTCGCATATTTTTTCCAAAATGATATATTTTCCTCAATACTGATATTCTTTTAACAAGATGTCAAATGTCATCCTGGATTTAGTTTCTATATGGGTGAGTATATTCACATTACTGTAACTGGCTTCTTTCAAACGAGATCACAGTGCATATTCTGGGGTTGTTTGGAGGGAAAAAAAATATGGAGACAGGCATCAAATATGTGAAAGAGTAGAAGTATCTACTATCAAATATCAACTTTTTACATGACCAAAAATGAAATAACTTCTTTTTACATTAAACTTTAATTTAAACGTGTGCTGCCATATTTCTTCATTTCTTGTCCTTCCAACAAGGGATTTGTGCAACTAGACCCAGGACTTTGGGAAATAGCTAAATAAATATACAAATTCTCTTCTATCATATTTATCTTTGTTAATTAATTTGTTATTAAAGTAAGTTTGGGACAAAAATATTGTGTTTTATTTATATTAAAATGCTACATTTGCCCCCTTTAGGAAAGGAGACCCTGCCCCACCCCCTTTCCATCGTCCCTGGTACCATATAACTACATTCTAATTTAATTTCTAAAGTTCTTTCCATGTCTTATTGAATCATTGTAGAGAATTTTCATTTTCCGAGAATTTATTATAAATAAATTAACAGTCAATAACTGATGGAAAACATTTGTGAATATTCCTTATATTCGTAGAGCTAGAACTATATTACATGCCTTACATGACAACTGAAGCAATAGTTCGCGCATTGCCTGGAGGCCTGGTGCCTAGTTTAAGTGGGGAGCACAAAGTGTCATGGGATAGCATCGTTTCGAATTTTTGTGCTAAAAATTTGAAAGCACATTTACATGTCTTACATGGTGAAGAAATTTATCGAAATTTCAAACCCAAACGATGGAAAAGGCAGGGAAAAGTTCGTAAAATGTTATTCAGATCTCACAGGTAAGAATAGTTTTATTTTGACTTGTTATTCAAGCACTTTAAATTGCGAAAGAACGTAGTGAAAATATGATTGTTACTTGAGCCATGTGTCTGAAATTCTGTTGAATATAATTTTGAATTTGCCGCGTTCAATTTCCATAAGAAACATACGAAATGTTGGTTTCTGCCAAGGAAAGAAAGAATAAAATATCAATTCGAATCTATTATAGTAAATTCTGTACTAAAGTGTGCACTAATAATATCAACAATTTAGCAATACAGTAATTCCCGGCGTACTTAATCGATAAAAACCGATCATGGGAAATCCAATCGATCAATCGATGTTAATCGATGTTAATTACTTAATTGATATCGATTGACATTGGTCAATCGATGACCAATCGATAGTCACAAAAAGTTATGGCCAATTTTATCGATTTTCATCGATATTCATCGATATTTATCGATTTTCATCGATATTTATCGATTTTTATCTATAAAATGCTTTCAATTTTTATCGATTTGTATCCCAAATAACCGCCGCGTGTCGGCGTGTTCAAGCTAAATAGTAAATCTGTTCTCATTTTTCAAATGTACACAATGACATGTATTTGATTTGTGTTATAGCTAGATGAAAACTTAATAAGGTGGTCTGGGACAATATGATTAAATTTTTTTATTTTTAGTATTATGAACTTCGTTTCGGTTGCATATGATAGAACATCACTTGCTAACACCAAAAATACGAACTTCATATGTGCTGTTTCCATGGTCACCGAACCACGGCCTTCTATATAGTGAAAAAGTACTCCTTTTTCGGAACATGATAGCAAGAGTAATAATGGTCATCAAAATATATAGTTTATTTATTTATTTATTTAGCTTTGCCAACTAGGACAGGGTCACCACAACAGCATATGCCCATTACTGTGGGCCCTTTTTACCTAACCCACCCTGTCAACTTTCCCAGTGGGAGGAAACCGGAGTACCCGGGGAAAACCCACGGCTATCGGCAGAGCGTCGACTTTTACTCTTTCCACATGAGGACTGGGTTCGAGTCGCACTGAGAAGGTACTTAGTGAGATTCGAACCTGCAGCCTCAGAGGTGAAAGGCAAGTGCGCTAACCACTTGGCCACCGAAGCCCCATAGTTAAGTTTGAAGGAAAGTCAATAGATGTATTAAACATGCAAACCTCAAAAAATAACACATTTGAAAAAATTTCATTAAAAAAAATTAATTTGTTTTCAAAATCGGCAAAAATTGGGTATTCATTGTAGACAAAAAATTTTTTTATAGATATATTATAATGATAAATATGATTTTTGAGGTTTGGGTTTGAGATCTATTTACAATCATTATATTCTGAAAATTTGATCAAATTTGGACTAATATTGAATGAGAGAGAGCTAGGTAAAATGTCATTTTGAGAAAATCGAGTTCAAAGTTGCACAATAACTTTTGAAGACAAACAAATTACATTTAAACAGATAAATTACATCAAAGTGTATTTGAAATGAACCTGCTGCATATGTTTTTCCCTCTTCTTCATTCTTGTCACCTTTCCTCTTATTTCTTCCCCTGATGACCTTTCTCTGTACTTTATTTTTCTCCTTCACCTTGTAGCTAGATTTCGTAACACGAAGCCGATCGGCTTCCCTTACTCCAGCAACACAAAAAGCTCCTGGATTTATTACCAAAGGCTTTGAAGACTTCAATAGTTGCTTTGGCACTAATGTTGAAATGATGCATGCTTTGGAGACCTTGCTCAAGGGTTCTACGTCCAAAATTTTTCCATTTTCCATGGAAATGACGGTTACACATCCGTGCGACGAGGTAAATCCCCTTCTTTGCCATGTTCCATCGCATGAAACAGCAGTTTCCACAATGTCTTCACCGTCCTCAGTCTTGGAGTTGTAGATTTCTGTGCTGCATCCTTTATTGTTTGTTCAACAACATCAGTTGCAGCCCATCTTATCACTTTCGTGTGCTCCCTAAATGGCTTTGAGCCAACTAGTGTTGGCATGTTCATGGTAGAACAGAGAACCGAGACATTGGGAGTTGCCCACAACCAATTGACCTCATTGCATATACCACTCTTCGATTTATGTAAAAAATAGCTATTTTTCTCTGAAGTATAAAATGTTTCAGTCCATCCACACGAGTTACATGTGCGAGAGACATGACCCATTGGTTTTGAACTGTCATCCATCAAAATTATGTCAATTGGATGGCATCATGGCAACATTTGATATATGGAGCACAGAATCGAAATATCAGTAAAACGATAACCACTTACTTTATTTTCGTTCACTGTACATAGACACTAAAATATCACTATAAATTTCACCAGTTTTCCTGGCCGAGGCTGACTGCATGCGATGCCTTATTAGAGTTTTCATCTTGAACACGACTGGATCGTGTACTTCGATTTTGATTCCATTTTTGAACGGAATTTTGGCTTAGTTTTCCCCGCTTCTACACGGCATGTTGATTTCCTTGAAATCTAAGATTCCTTCTTCATGATCTTGCCATTTTGTAAACAGAATGACTTGTAAAATAATCTTGTAAAGAAGCTTTTAAAAATTGCTCTTTAAAGATGGCCGCCGAAGATGATATTGGAAATTTGTGTTGTATTTACAGGCAAATACTTGGTGTAACATGCAATAAAAGAGTAACAAAACAAAGTACAGATAGGGAGGGGAGGCTAGGGATTTATTCTGAGTAAAATATGCAAATTTAAATGAACCAATGGGATGGTTTTTTCAACAGAATCTCGTTGCTATGGTGGTTGCTAGGGGCCAAAACTACAAACAATGATATATATTTTCAATATTTTCCCGTTTTCTTCGCGCAAATCAAAAAAATAACGCCGGGAAATGAAAAAGCAATGATCAATGATGTATAATATGGTTGTTTCGAAAATTTGACTTTTTCACAAAATATTGTCCCATATTAATTAATTTAATCCATTGTTACTAAATTCCGTTCACATTTGAGTTTGTTACGACGTTAAAGTACGTATTAATTATATTACGGCGTTACCTATTTGATTGCATTTTAACGGAGGATTTTTTCATCAATGAAAATTGATAATAAATCGATGATCAATCGATGAAAGTCACAGCAAAGGAAGCCATTGATTATTCATCGATTTCCAATATCAATCGATTGATAAATATCGATTGGTATTGATTGATATCGATATTCATCGATTATCGATTTCATCGATTAAGTACGCCGGGAGTAATTGTCTTTGGCATTAATGGCATATACAGTAATAATTTGGCACTTTGCTAGACCTTTGTCAAGGGTGTATATTAAACTTAATAATAAAATTATATGAAATAATATATTAAACATACTTGTGCTTTTAACAATACGAAATAATATATTAAACATTTGAATGCTGTTAAAGATATGTTAGCATTTTAATACATGAATAAGGATTGTAATTACAGAAGAATTACAGCATTGAATGTGATATATCAGTGTATTTATCCTTAACCCATTAAGCTGCAACTGTGTTGCTTTACTTTACCTAATGCCAGACAATTTTACTTGTCAAGGGGAGAGTCTTGCAAGCTCTTTATTAACGAGCTTCAGTTGTATAAAATGATATGTTTGTAAAAGCTGGAAGATGTACGAGCACTGAGAAGTGCCTCAAATGTTCTCTTTATGTTTTCAGATTAATATTGGAACTGGGTTATAGCCTAGCTCCACATATTGTTCTCAAGTCACAACAATCAGATCTGGATTGAGTTGACAAACTGGTGTTATAAGGTAAGAATTAACAAGAATAAATAGTCTGCTTTTAGTTAAAATGACAAACTGGCGCAGCTAAGGTGGCCACCCAGGCCAGACAAATCAGTCTCAATCTTATAAACAGCCCCTACAAAAATTTAGTAACTAGTAACAACATAATTACACATGAATCCTGTGATTTAAGGCCTGTTAACACTGACACTGTGCTCAATTTTGGTACCTGTAACATGTTTACCATGCTTGGACTACCCATTCATACAGGCCGAGCACAGATAAATTTGGTACAGGCACCAGTTTTATCTGTGCCATACCAAAAATTGAGCATAGTGTACAACAGGGGCTGGTTGTTCAAAGGTGGGTTAGTGCTAACCCTGGGTTAAATTTAACCTGCTGTTTTAGTTCATGTATTTCTACAAGTCTGTTTGTTTCAAAACTTCAAAAAAATAAACTCCTATCGATCCAGACAAGATATCTGAAGAAACATTTTCAAATTTATAGACAAGCTGTCAAGAAGTTTGGATTGAATTTTAGGTTAACCTAGGGTTAACCCACTGTAACCCAGCTTTGAACAACTGGCCCCAGGGCTTTAGTAGTTTGGTGCTTTAATAATCTAAATTATGCCAGAAGTATGAAGGGTCAGTGTGCAATAGCCAATTTTCTGTCATGAATGAGTCATTACAGTATGGTACAGGTACAGCTGTCCATAGGCCTGCAATAATGCAGGGGGAGGGGCTGTAGCTGGACCCATTGACCTGCAATTTGGCCTAATGTGCTCTGTCTTATTAAATTAATTTACTCTGTCTTGTTAATTTACTCTGTCTGATACCAAACAATTTTAACAATTTTTCCATGCTTCATACTAAGTCCAAAAAAAGTAATGCCTGGGTTTCTATTTCTCATATGCAAAAATAATATCTCATATAAAAGATTAGAGTTGGTGATTTCTTTGGCCTAACTCATTAGTAAGCCCTAATGTCTCCTGTAATATACTTTACAAAAATAGTATCAAATTAAATGTAACCTAGTAGATGGTTAATTAAGCCAATATATATCTGATAACCCATTAGACATGGCTACCATAAGGGAATCCCCTATTTGGCCTAACACTATCTAGATTATTCTTGCTGTCTCAATGCCAATTAAATCTAAAACATATTAAATAAATCTGATTTTATCAATTCCTATTTTTTCAGCTTTTGTTCTGGATGCATCTGGATACAGCTGCTATGCAGTACATGGTACAGGACAAATGATGTGGGGCTTGAACTAAAAGCAAACTAGCTGAGTGAGACTTGACATTAACAATTAATGACTTTTAGGTACTCGTTATTTATTTCTGGCCATGTATATAAATATAATTAGGAAATTTTAAATAAGTGTAGGTTATAGTATTACTCAGCCCCAGGACCGGTTGTTCAATGCTGGACTAGCGCTAACCCTGGGTTAAAATTTAGCCTGCTGTTTTAGTTTGTGTATTTCTACTGTACACGTCTGTTTATTTTAAACTTCAGAGAAGAAAACTCGTATCGATCCAGACAAGATCTCTGAAGAAATATTTCCACATTTATAGACAAGCTGTCAGGTTAATTAACCTAGGGTTAAGCTAATCCAGCCTTGAACAACTGGCCCCTGGAGAAAATTTGATTGTACAGTGCATAATTATATGTGTAACCTATAATTATATATTTACTAATAAATACATTTAATATTCTGATCTAGTATTTTTTCATATTAAATTATTACGGCTTCAAGTGAACATGACAGAGGTACAGTTGCAGCAACTTGATGTTGCAGAAGTAAGAGGAAATAGTTTTATGCAAGAAATAAAACTCACTTGCTGGCATGCAGTTATGTGACATATCTGCTTGGTAGATAATATACAGATAATTTTATCTGTAGGGAAACTATACTGTCACATAACTGTGACAGATATGTTATTGGGCCAAATTCCTATATGTTGCAGGTATGTGACAGATATCTGTCATATAACTGTGACATATATCTGTTACATAACTGTGACAGATATCTGTCACATAACTGTGACAGATATCTGTCACATAACTGTGACAGATATGTTATGGGGCCAAATTCCTATATGTTGCAGATATGTGACAGATACTTTCGTACATATATTTTGCAGATATTTTACAGAACTGTGACATATATCTGCCACATATCTGTCAGTTTGGTAAGGGATGGTACATCTGGGCTATTTTCGCCCATGTGACATGCCGTAATATTAAAGGGCCACCTGCTACCCCTAAAATTTTTCCAATCAATTCTAAACTTCACAGTTTTGTTACTTAGAATGAACCTCACCACTAAAAAAAAGGTAGATTTGATTGCATTATCTTTTGAAAATCATGGGGCATATGATGCACCCTAATAATCAGGATTCGTTATGATTTTATAAAAGATAATGATAGTTTGCTTTTGAATATATACGAAAATTTCTGGATAAAATCATGTATGGATATATTTAACTGCTGGTTTAATATAAGTTGAAGAACAAAGTAATTTGTAACACTGCAATACTTGGTTATTGAGTTCAGTTCATCTGTTTCAAAGGTGGCAACACTCTATTTGTAAATAATGTGCATGAATACTGTAAGTATGTTAGAGAGTAATAAATTGATTAATTTTAATTGTCTGTTGCCATACTTATTCACAGGTATACGGCTTGGAGTATTTCCTGATGAATTGGAATCTGAGTTCTATCCTCCCACCGTAAGTCAGCCATTGACTGAACATCAAATTTCGGAGGAAGGCACAGCATTTGAAATGTTTTCCTCAAATAGCAGCAATAGTGATGTGGTAAGCTATTAAATTGCACTTCTAAACTGTAATACAGGTATCTGTGTTTCAGATGTTGACAAAGCCATTTGTTAGTGCATGGCCATAAAAATCAAACTGGGCAGTGGAGTTCAATACTTAAAACATCCATTTTTGTTACACTTTAAAAGCTGATGCATGATTTTGAATATATCCATGCATTCCAAGCAATCAAAAAATTGTTTCTAATAGCTTTTATACTTCAAAATTCATATGTTAAATTTCATTTTTGGTGCGTACCATTTAGTATAGCTGTGTAAATTTCTGAAACACAGTTACTGTATTTTTCCTGGACACCTGTATTTACTGTATACAGTACTGCATGTTGATACATTTTCACACTACTTGCACAGCATAATCATATCATATTTTTTATATAGTTATCTGATGATGCCCCTGAAATTATAGACACAGATGATGACGAGCAGGAGACAACGTCTGAAGTTGACAATGGTCCAGCCGTCAAAGTAGTGAAATTATTCGTAATTTTTCTGCTCTCCTGGAAAATTGTATGCTCCATTTCAGATACAGCGCTCGCAGTGATACTAAAGTTTCTCACGGAATCATTAAAATTAACAGCGGTTATTATGCAGTGTGAGAAATTAAAGGAGTTTGTGCCATTTTTCCTAGAACGTTGTACAAATTGAGATCCATGATTAATTCTGATATAAATAGCTTTCAGCAATACGTTGTGTGTCCAAAATGCCATGCAATCTACAAAGCAGAGGATGTTCTTCACAAAAATGTGAGGGGAATTACAAAGGCAAAAAAGTGCAGTTACGTGCATTTTCCAAGTCATCCTCGTGCAAACAAGCGAAAGCCATGTGGATCAGCTCTATTCAAGCAAGTGAAAGCAAGCAATGGATCACTGACACTAAGACCAAAGAAGATCTTCTGTTTCCAGTCCATAAAGGATATTTTATCGAGGTTTTTGAAAAGACCAGATTTTGCTAGTAAATGTGAGGAATGGAGGAACCGGCAACCTGATCCCAATACCCTGATGTTTACGATGGAAATGTGTGGAAGAGCTTCAATAATTCTGATGGCAATTGGTTTTTCGAAAACCCTTTTACATATGGATGTTCGATTCATTTAGATTGGTTTCAGCCATATGAAAACACGCAATACAGCGTTGGGGTGCTTTATTTATGTATGCTGAATCTACCCCCAGAAGAGAGATACAAAGTGAACAATATTGGTATCATTGGGATCCTACCAGGGCCTCATGAACCCAGTAAGAATATAAACTCGTATCTGAAACCAGCTGTTGAAGAACTTCAGGAACTGTATAAGGGTGTTTGGATCAATGTACAAGACACATATGAAAAAAAAATTGTAGTTTGGCTGTTCTTTGTGCAACATGCGACATACCAGCATCCAGAAAGCTTGCTGGATTTGTTGGTTTCTATAGTTACCGAGGATGTAATAAATGCATGAAAACGTTTCTGTGAGGCATTTGGAGATAAGAACGATTACTCCAAATTCGATAAAGCTGGCTGGGGAGCGAGAGACTTGGACAAGCATAGAGAGAAAGCATATCAACACAATCAAGCAACAACCAAGGCAGGTCAAAAGCGAATTGAAAAAGAGTATGGTATTCGTTACTCTGTTCTTTGTGAGCTGCCATATTTCAATAATATATGTTTTGTTGTATTGTTCGATGCTGTGCAAGAGAAACATTACCATCGGTGATTGTGAGGTCGTTGACTGACTGTTGGTACAGTTTTGTAAGTCTGTGGAGAAAACGTATGGCAAAAATAAGATAACGATCAATATGCACTTGCACGCTCACTTAATATGCACTTGCACTGTATTCTTGACTTTGGTCCAGTCTACTCGTTCTGGTGTTTTGCCTTTGAGAGATTTAATGGTATTCTTGGCTCATACCATGTGAATAATCACAACATTGAGGTTCAATTAATACGTCGATTTTTAGAAAATCAGCAAATTGGAAGTTTCCATTGGCCTGATGAAATTGCTCCACTGAAAACTGTTCTTCGGCCATCATTGTCGTTGAAAGGCTCTCTTGCAGCTGTTGCCAGAGTTACTGGGGACGAACATCGACAGGCATTGAGGCAAATTAATTCTAGAGGGGATAATTTAAAAGAACGAGACTATACTAGTGGTAAGTTTTATCTGCCATTAGGAACGATTAAGGCTAAATATCTTTGTGATGAAGAATTGTCTGATATCAGATCAATGTATGAGAAACTCCATGAACCAGGCGAAATTGAATCGGTTCATCAATATTACGAGGAGTTTTATGAACTATTGAATGTCGGAGAACTTTTTGGATCGAAGATGTCAAGAAATTCTGGGTCATTTTTCATCCTTGCAAGATGGCATGGACAGTTGGAGCTTGATACTGTGACGTCAGACAGGAGACCTGGTGAGTTACTGTTACTCGATATTTTTGGTCCTTTACTACTGTGTACTGTGCACAAAATTGTTTTTTCTTACTTTTATTAGGCCTCATAATTTAGTTGTCTTAAGGACAGTGGAAGTATAAATTAAGTTTTAGTTATTACAATTCGTTTCAGGGGAAATCGATCATTTCCTGCGCCATAAACTAACAGTCTGGAATGGTGATGGTGGCAATACTGTCTTGAGGTATATTGTGGCTTGTGTTCATTGGCTGAAGCTTCATCCTCACTGCCGAAAGTATTTTGGGTTGCCAGTTCAGGTATGTCTTCAGGACTACGAACTCCCATCTTCAGCCACATTCATCCCCGTTGGCCATATATCTCACAGATGTGCAGCTGCGAAGGTCAAGTACAATCTTAGAACAATTAATGGAGATGAACAGATTGTCGTAATAACGCCTATCGAAAGGCAATTTTATATGTGACTAACTGTATGAACGGAGTGACTGATAACTTCTGAAACAGAAGGAAATCAAATTCTGTATGAAAAATAATTTTTATAATTGGACATTATCTGAAAATGTTCAAAATTTCAATCAGAATTTTATTTCTTGAATGCTTCAAATATATGTACTATACAGTGATCCTTAGTTTGCAAAATGTTTGACATTATGCATGACTCAGTTTAATTGTCATGTTGAATATAGCTAATTCATGTTGGGTTGTCCTTTGTAAACCTTAAACCTTGAACTCTAAGCATGCAAAGCATAATGGGAGCATTATTTAATCAGTTTAGAAATCATATATGGGGCCCATTTCTTAAATATATGGTAAATATATACGAGAACAATTCGTTGACAAGGAGCTGCAATTGTTAACTACTAAGCTTGAAACTTGTGCTCCCATTACGCTTTGCGCACTTAGAGTTTAAGGTTTTAAAAGGACAACCTTTTTTGAATCGGCTGTGTATACTGTATTGTAAGATGAATATTTCATGACACGTTTACCATTTGAAGATATTCGTTACATGGTTAAATTCTTTAAGCTTACCTAACGGCATCAAAGCTCTAAGGTGCCTACTAACTTTAAATCTTTCAATTTAATAGTGGTCTACTACTGTATTAATAGTGCAGGTATACGAAATCTTTAGCTGAAGTCTCAAGCTACTAACAGTACAAAAGCCTGCAGACTTAGTTGCAGTTTAGTGTATTTTTCATATTTACGGAATGTGTATCAATTAGAGTTTTTTACACTCACCAGTTTTTGGCTACTGCGTCTTCCAGGTTTGTGAGTATACATAAGTATGTTGAGATGCGACTTCATATTGCTGTAGATGTTTGCATTATGGTAGATTTACAAATAGAACTATAAACAGTAGGTTTCAACACTGTACTATACTAATTTAAGTCTTTAAATGAGATCAGACACCACCCCCAAATTTTTGCCCTCGTGAAAAAGGTTAATTGATATGAATCTACTGTCCCTCGAGGAAGCTTTTTAATGATAAGTTTATACGAACCACTGTTTTCTTAAACTTGAACTGTTAATAATATTTTTCCTAAGATGTTGTAGTACATAAATGTAGTATATACCGTATAGTATACTTATTATTTACTGGACATTTGCTCTGATCGCTTATCACTATTCAAGAATATTTATATAATCCGGTTTTGGGTTCATTTGCTTATCGTTTACGGTACGTTCTTGTTATTTGAAAAAAAAACCTTCAAAATCTTCTGGAATGAGATCAACGGTGTGTGCATAAGATAATCTGGAATGAAGATAAACTTATTGATACAGAAATATGACATAGTGGAAATATTGAAGGTTATTTTTCACTCTGTAAATAATTTAGCCTGTATGCATGATACAACGAATAAGGCTTTTTGTGCATTGTATAAGAAATCCTTATACATGGTATTAGGAAGCCATTTATATATGGGTCCTGATATTACCAGGATATGCCCAAATACTTATACAACCTTATATCATCAGTAAACGTTTCGTATCAGGACTTCGGATACAACTGTATATGAATTGTTTCATGCAGTGAATCATTTTAATTTATCACCCAGAATCTGGGTGTCACGTGACCAGCCAAAACCAGGGTCTTTCCTTCGCCTTGTGCCGTTCTAAGAAAGACCCTGGGAACGAGGTTGAGGAAGCTTTTATTAACATGCTTATTCTCGTCTGTGGTGATATAGAATCTTGTCCTGGTCCTACCAGTAATAGCAATAGCTATAACAGAGATATCCCGGAGCTAACAGCATTGCTTCGCAAAAGAGGATTAGTGATTTTCCATCAGAATGGTAGGGATTTGTTTTCAAATATGAATCTTATCTCGGAGTTGCTTCACAACTTTGGTGGTATTGAATTACTGACACTAAGCGAAACGCATATTCAACAAGTAAATGGCGATGAAGCAATATATGATGTACCTGGCTATGTGTTTGCTAGCCGGCCACAGTTATCAGGGAAAGGTGGTGGCGATGGCGCTTATATTTCTAATAAAATAAATTGGAGTCATAGAGACGATTTGGAGGACGAAAAAATCGAAGTAATGTGGATCAAAATATGCCCAAATCTAGCTAGGGGTATCTGATTGCAGTTGTTTTTATAGACCCCCAACCACTTCCAAGCATTTACATAATAATTTTAATGAATTACTAAACTCAATGCTTTCAAATGCGTCTGAAGAGAATAAAGAAATAATTGTTCTGGGGGACCTAAACACAAATTTCCTGGTCCCTTCCAACAATAAAGACCTTAAAAGTAGCTTTGATATATTCGGTTTTAACTCTTTCTCAGCAGGCCCCTGTAATCGTAGAACATGCACGTTCTATGACACTTTGCCGATTCATATCTCCGGTTCGGTGCATGCTCTGTAGATGAAAATACCACCATTCGATTCAGTGAAACAATATCTCCTAACACCTATCGATAGTTTTAGTCAAATATAGTTTTAGTGAAATTGTATAACTATTTATGACATTTTGACAGGTCTAGCAGTGTCATATTTTATAAAATTAATCAATTGTCTCAAACAATGTAAACTATCCATACCTTTTGCCGAACATAACTTCGGCCCCTTTTGAGATACCGTTTTCAATATAGTCTTATTAGTTGACCTGCATCTAAGGACATGCATTAGGCAAAATGCATGGTTGTCATTGGTTGTGACTGAACGTGTCTAAATCCTGAATAAATTGAATGTCGATACAATGTCATGCATGTCTTTTGTGCATCATGTTAAAGCTGGTCTTTCAAACTTATAGCTCGATCGATCATAGATATGTTCCTATACCCAAATATTTCTTGTGGGTTCCCATGCTCTTCTCAGACATACAAAAAAGTGTTACTGAATGACTTCATGTATACAGTTTATTAGTTGATGTTTTGCAGACCTCGATCGATCAGTAATCAGGACAGGTCTCAAGGGAATTCATACATATTGTAAATCCACAACATTCTTTACATGAGTAGGGCAATGTACAATGAAGTGTAAATATTTCATCCATCAAAATCATCGCCGGCATTTAATAATTGCTTTACTAACTGACTGTATAACACTTCCATTATATTGCATAGTAGCCAGTACGTATACTGATAACTTACTGCAGACGTCGCACAACAAACAGCGAAGTGATTATTCAGTTCTGTTTGGTTGCAAAAGCACTTAATTTACCGTTATGTAGTCACTCATACGAGTATGATAGGCTACTGATGTAGGTATAACTCTTCAATGTATGAATTGTAAAGTTGTATCTCCCCGGTGTATAACAATTTACAGTCAGCATGGCAAAAGTGACTATACTGTTTCAAGTTATCGTATATTTACTATATTGTTATAATTCGGCTATATACTCATTTTCTGTGCACCTATAATACCGGCCCGGGAATGGAATTTGCAGAGGCAGGTAATATATGTCGCTTTAGGTCGCATTAGCATATATTCACTAACATAACCAATCAGATTTTGGATTTTGACAAAACAACATTCCATAAATGAATATATGTCCGCTTTCATCCTTAGATGCTGGTCAACTATTCGAAACAGAATCAAAAACACTATTGAAAGTGTTATTTTCAAGCTTGTAGCCTTAGTTTTTTGTCTTTTATTTTGGTATTTCAATCTGTTGCAAAACTAATGAAATCAGAGGGATATTTTTAACCGGAAATACACTTTAGATCTGCCAAAACATCGCGTATTTACATCCTAGCACTCGGCAAACATCGGAAATCGATTCTAAAGGTCAAATTACATATGTAGCGTGATTTTCACGTGCATTGGGCTACGGAATACTCCTTATTGGCCAATTTTACGTGCAGCAGGTGCACACGAGTAAAAACCTGATGAAACCCGATATTTTGAAAAATTCAAAATAAACATTTCTACTCGCCATATTCAAATGAGATTTTCTACATAAAAGTGCTTGAATACAAGGAATATTTCACTAATATTAACTTGTGGCAAATTCTGAAGAGTTTGGCCAAGCGGTGAGTAAATATATGATTGTTTCGGTTTGTGTATTTGTTTTGATGGCATTAGACCCCCGATGAAAAGGTTATTTTGTTAGGATTTCAATGGTGTTCTTTGTTTTTAAGGGGGGTGAATACGCGCTGAAATATTTACGTTATAAAACAGTTGAATCAAAAATGTTGCTTGCTGTGAAAAATGTTGCATGTCGAGAAAGAGTTACCGACGACAATAACGACAACATTGACATTAATCGACGTTATCTTAACAAATAACCCTGTGAATATATCTAAATCAGATGTCGTTCCAACTTGCATAGTGGATCATGACATACCTGGATGCATACGGAAAATAAACAATGCCTTTGAAAATTTGAAAGCTGATTTGCATTCTATCGATTGGTCTCGGTTTTATGAATAAAAAACTGTAAACAGTGCGTGGGCTTTCATGAAAAAGTTCTAAATGACATTTTTGAACGTCATGCTCCTGTGATAGCAAAGAAAGTAAGAGGTAAACCAGCGCCATTGTTAAACAGTGATGTAAAAAACCTAATGAATGAAAGGGACAAACTCCTCAGAAAGTTGAGACAAACCAAAGACAAAACAGATATCTCAGCATATAAAAGTAAATGCAACAAAGTAAATATCGCAGTTAGAAGGGCAAAGTCTGTCTATTGTAAAATTCCAATGATCCAAATAAATTCTGGAAAACATTAAAGTCAATTTACCCCACAAGCACCAATAATAAACAAAATCTCCAAACTTTTGATGTTGACGGTGTAAAATTAAGTGACCCGAAGGAAATTGCAAACGCTTACAAAAATTGCTTCGACTTTAAAAGAGAAAGCCATCCCACTATGTAATTTCACATGGAGAAGGCCAAAAGACATATCTCTAAGGACTATTAAAAAATGTAAGTTCCAAATGGTAAGAAGGATGGATGTCATGTGGCAACTAAAGCTAATCAAGAGAAAGTAAGCGACTGGACTGGATTGGACAATCTACCACCAGGCCTTTTAAAGGATTCAGCTGAGCAAATATCTGCCCCACTAACTTACTTAATAAACCTTTCACTTATGACAGGCATCTTTCCAACTGATTGGAAAACAGCAAAAGTTATTCCAATTCATAAATCTGGCACGCGCTCAAATTTTGATAACTTTGACCTATATCAATTTTACCGGCAATATCGAAAATTTTTTAAATGATTATACATCGCCAAGTCATGTCATTTCTCAATGACAATAACTTGCTTTTGCTGTTCCAAATTTGGCTTCAGATCTGATCTGTCTACTGAGTATGCAGCAACTGTCCTTTTGAATGACATCAGAAGAAATGTTGATAAAGGTAATCTGGTTGGAGCTGTCTTCATGGACCTCAGCAAGGCGTTTGACACTTTGAGTCACGCTATGCTACTTGACAAACTACCTCAATATGGAATATAAGGCACATAACTTCAATGGTTCAAAGACTATTATGGATGTTTATCTGTTTTTTAGGCCCTCTATTGTTTTTGGTATACTTCAATGATGTTATAGAGGCAATTGAGCACTCAAGTATTGTCATGTATGCTGATGACACCATTCTGTATGTTGTGGGAAAGGATATACAATCAATTCAAGCCAACTTATCGAAGGATATGGACAGTTTAGCAGACTGGCTTAGGGAGAACGAGTTGATTATTAACCTTAAGAGAGGGAAAACAGACTCTCTTTTATTTGGAACTGCGCAAAGGATTACAAAACATAGTGAACCTCTTAAAGTATCGATATCACGTCCATCACCCACTGTTATCACAACAACAGACGTATACAAATACCTGGGAGTATTAGTGGATAGTTCTCTGAATCTAAATTCAAATTTTGATTTATGCTATAACGGGCAGCTGGAAGATTAAGACTCCTGGAAAAATTGAGAATCTACTTGGATCAGGCAGCAGCCAATACCATTTATTGTTCGATGATATTACCAACGCTTACGTATTGTGGCATCTTACATCTTCAGTTCATGCAGACTCAAATAAACAAACTTTCATCCTTCTATGATTGTGTGGTGAAGTTGCTGTTAAGAATGGCAATGTAGATCAAGACCATGATCTGCATTCAGCCATTAAGGTAAATAAAATTAGGGCATGTAAAGTAGTGCGGAAGTGTCAAAACAGTGACATCTGTGAACATTTCAAGGACTATTTTACTTTGCAAAATCATGGTAAACATACAAGGAATAATAGATACCTTTTAAGATTACCTATTATTAAGACTGAATACGCGCGAAGATCATTTTACTACATGGGTACAAAGGTGTATAACGAGCTCCCACTTAAGATTCATAAAGCTGAGAGTACAAATGACTTCGAGAAACAGCTGAACGAACATTTCAGAAATCCGTGGACATGGACATTCTAACTCTATACATTTATATTATCTTACCTTTAATTTTTTGTACCTATATTTAGTGCATGCGTAAAAACAGGACACACATTGATAACAGCAGTTTTTACTGTTGAAGTGTCTATCCTGTATAAATATTTGTTATATTATTATTATTATTATTGAACAATTTTTTTGGGAATATCACCCATTATTATTACATCTTGGCGATTTTACAGCCCTTCGCGCCTTGTTGCACCAATCGTCTATTAGTAGTAATTGTTATACCGCGTTTGCAACATGTTCTGTGATTGGCTGATTAGAAAACAATCAGAATGGAATGTTGTGCTCTTGAAAGCAGCCTGTGAGTGGGGAGAAAACATCGCACCCACAAACAGGCTGTGAGGGAGACTACTGAAATGCAGACTTTGGGAAAGTTCTGACAGAATTCTGATGGTCAGAAAACAGCATTTTAGTATGTCGAAATTTACAATTGCTTTCAATTTAGTTGTACTAAATGGGCAAAGGCATATTTAATTAACTATATATTGGTTGCTATATATATTGGTAAATCAGTTTATACTGACATACAATTATATTATTAACAACTAAAATTTTGTTATACTGTTATTGCCGTAATTTTCTGAATAGCCAACTCGATTTTCTGAATATGTTAATTTTAAAAAAGTTGGGGGTTAACCACCCCCATTGGGGGTCCCTCGCTACGGCCTTGGGGGCTGGAAGAAAAATAAATGCAATCATAAAGGGCACCAAAAAAAATTTTCCCAGAAATGTTGCAAAAATGTTGACATTAATTAAAGGCCATGGAGGAAAAGTGCAATCTGACCAACATTTTTCACGAACACAAAGGGCACTTTACCACCGAAAAAAGTGCACTTTGAAAACTTGGGGGGGGGGGCTTGTTCCTACACCCCTGGCAATAAAGGCAACATGCATGCATGTTCAAAAGGGAAAAGTTCATCCACCGTTCATGTTTATATGGGAGTTTTTCATCCCGGCTAGGCAGGATGAAGTGTTTATTTTTCATCTCGTTGAGGCGGCATCTGTTGCAAGGATCCTGTCTAGGCGGGATAAATGGCAGGATCATATAGACACTCTTTAGAATTTGTATTACGAGCAGGATCTCTGTAAGCATCCAGTCCCGCCTGGTGGGAATCATATAATCAGGCCCCCTTATTAATTAGTACTGGTAAAATCTTGTCCAGGCCTTTACTTCTATACTTATACACAATGACTCTATAGTCATGAGTTATTAATATATTCACAGCACACAGTTGTGCCGCATTCTCAGAAAAATATAAATACATATGTCTTAGATTATCAAGTCACATGTACATTAATTGATTTGTTACAGGTAGCACAAGCTGCTCAAGAGTTGCAGTAGTTACAAATCCTGGAACCACAATGCCAAATTCCGCTACAATGGGTAATGACACATGTGTGACAAAGTTAGGAAAAGGACTTGAGTTTGTTCTTAGGAAGTCAGCTGAAGTTAGAATTTGACAAAGCACGACAGAAACATAAGCAGTCACCTTCTGATAAGTTCATTCTTGACAAGTTTATGAAAAGGGTGGCTGTTTATGGAGGTCAAAATTTCAAAGCAAGAACGCCTATTCCATGCAGAACTTGGACAATGGGAAAAAGACTTTTACCTGAAAAACAACAAAGTTACTCAAGAAGACATAACAGCATGTCTTCACGCAAAAGGTCTTAGGAACAAGCTAAAATATGCTAAAGCTATCCTGATGAAAGCAAGGAACAAAAAATAGAAGCTGCTGAACGTCCATATTTTAGTTCTCATAAGTTATAAAATTGATAGAGTTTAGGGTCGTTTTATACGTCGAATTTTGGCCATGTCGAATGCAATTCAAGCACTAACAGATGAGGCGAGTTGTCTCATTTTCCATGAATAACTGCATTTGAAGCCACCCAAATTCGATGTATATATAAGCAGGCCTAACACTAGTAATAATGGTTATTCCTTTGGCTTTCATTAGGCCCGTTTCAACGTCGAACTATCCATGTGTCGAACCTTTAGTTCTTAATAGTTTTCTTTTGAATTTATGTACAGTTAGTTCTGCAGAGAAAGTTCGACGTCTGAAACAGGCCTTAGCAGCAACTTTATGTAGTATTGCTGTAAATATCAAATTTTGTAAAAAACTCACCTTTATAGCCTTTAACCATGTATGTACCATAATAAGTAGAAGAGGAGTAGATTGGAAAACATTTAATACATTTACAACAAAATTTAAAGTTTGAAACACTCATATTCCTTTGCTAAAACGCATTTCGCTTTAAACGGTCACTAAGCAACCATAGTCTATAAATGATCAACACTTCCATAAAGGGAAAAGCGAACTAACACGAATACTGGGTGCCAATATTTGCATTTTTGTGCGAAGGTGCAATATTGTACAAGTGAAGCATATATCTGAGTATTTTGTGAAATATAAGTATGCGACATACAGTTGAGAAGAAAAGAAAGATGCGCAATGAGAGAAAGAAGAGAAAGCGGTCTCACAAATTGGAATTGAAGCGCACAGCACTCATAAAAGATGCACTTCGTGAGGTTCAAAGAAAAACCAATGAGCAAAGGAGCATTGCTTCAAAATATTATAAACTTTGGAGGAGAAGGGTAGAACCTACAAAAACATACAAAATAAGTTGGACAACAGAGAAAGCAGTATAAAAAAGGTATACAAATATTAATAGGTACATGAAGATTACAATCTTCTTATTAATAATTCTTGGCTACCAGTACCTACAGTATATAAAATACAGATATGTACAGGCAAAGGGACCAGCCATTATTTTTGGAAGGGGGGTGGGGGTCAAAGAAAAATGTTGTAATAGGAAGGGGGGTCACCCTTGAATTTCTGCTTTCTTAGGTGGGGGCCTTTCAATTTTTTAAATTTAGGGAAGAAAATATTCCCTTTCCATAAATAATGACCAGTCCCTAATACACTAATTGTCAGTATATATTTTCAATATTTTCAATTTCATAACATTTGATGACATTCTATACTATATAAAGGGTCATCCCTAACACAACCCGCCCAACCAACCCGCTGTCCCCAAAGTCCTGTTTTATGCATTTTATTGATGAACAATAAATTTCAACGGTAACTCATTTGAACATGTCCAGCAAAAGTATGGTGGGTGTTAACATCATCCAGCATGAAGAATTAGAAGAGCTCGAGATAAGCGGTGAATCAATTGGGAATGGTGTTTATGGGAAATGTTTCCTCAAACGATTCAACAGACAACAGTTGTTGAAAAGCAATTTATTGACAGCACTGTTGACATGTTATACAAAGAAGCAATGTTTATGCAGAAATGTTCCCACAGATGTATCCCATTGCTTCCAGGGGTCCAACTGGAGAAGAAACCAATCTCCCTGATAATACAATTTATTGGGGAGAACAGTAAGTCCATTACAATCTTCAAATTGTTGTTTGATCCACTCTATCAACAACAAGCTTCAAACATGTCAACAAAAACACGACTCTGCATATGTTATGACATTGCTGGTGCACTTGACCACATGCACCAAAGAGGATATATCCACTGTGACCTAAAGTCCAATAATGTGTTGGTTGCTGAAAATAAGGGATATCTTATTGACTTCAGGAAAGTTTGTGAGATCTCTCGACCAAAGGCGAAGAAATATAGGGATGTTTATAGACCTATTCATATATTCACATTACAAAGTTTTATTTTTATGTATTTGCAATATATTCGCATAGAAAGAAAGAGCAATCTGGAGAAACTTGGAAGAGTTGGATTGCGCGTTATAGGTTGAGAATTTTCCACATTTTAAATAATTTCAACATTTTTAGCCAGCCCGTTTCTATTATGATTCCAAATATACATCTAGAGTGTGTCCTGGGTAAAAATCATGTGTCATGGATAAAAAGTAGTGCGTAAAAGTTGTGGGTCGAGAAATGCTTTAAATTTCCAGTTTCCGCTCGAAGCTCACAGGTTACACATTATGGAGAGTGCAGAGGGTGCCAACTTTCTAGTTTGTACCTGATTATAATGTTGTTTTGTTTAAAACTAATTCTCAAAACCCAAAAACATGTGTGAACAATACAATATTTAATTTAATTTATTAACTTTAAATTCAAATAACCTTAAACACAAAAAGATCCCTAGAATATAGATTTACTTACAATACCTATGCCCCTGTCCATTCTATTTTTCTTGCGCATGTCCTTCTTTTCCATGTGACATTGTCTATGTCACAATACTACACTCACTGGTGATAGGGGTCCACTGCACACAATTTTATATGCACAGGTGAACAATATTTTCAATAATGGATCATTTAAATTAAAGCAAACAAACTAGGTATTTCAAATGACAACTGAACAACTATCATTCAGTAATTGTATATGCTACAAGTCTACAAACTATACATTCAATAGAACACTGTTCTAATTATTTTATCAACCACCATGACTGAGACTGTGTCAAGGTCTTTTTCAGATAAAAATAAGATACCTAGCATTTCCTGTGATGTCTTGTATTTATAACAAAAAAATATTTCGAAGAATAAGGAAGAAACAACAATAGTATACTACTTCAACTCCTTGTCAGGTGCCATATTGAATTTTGTGCCCATGTCAGAAAAAGCCTGGGGCCGGTTGTACGAAAGGTGGATAAATCGCTATCCGGTGGCACAGAATAGGAAGTTATACCAGAAGCGTAACTCGAGCAAATATTTGTCCGCGTTTTTACAAGCGATTCGTCATCAATCACGCCATCCTGGCTAGTACCACCGGCACTTTGTACCTACCAAATCCTGACAAAAACTTCCGGCTGTACTAGCCAGGATGGCGTGGCCTGACGTGAGCGAGTTAAAATTTTCGTGGACGTCAAACAATAAGGGAAACGACTAGAGTTACGCTTCTGGTATAACTTCCTATTCTGTGCCGGTGGATAAATTTATCCGCTGGATAGGGATCCAGCGGATAAATTTTATCCGGAGTGAAAATCGCGTTGTACGAAGCTTGGATAGCGCTCTCCAACGGATAAAATGCACTATCCGTTGGATAAATTTATCCAAGGTCCGGAGGTAGTTTAAATCCACTATCCGGCGGATAAACTCAAAGTTTGAAGACAAAACAATGTGTATTTCATATAAAAGGGATTGCTATTGTGATAGAAATGGACAAATATACTGTTTAGAAGTCCCTTTTTTGACACCAAATAAACATGGAAACTTACTTTATGACTTCTCTTGCTCTTGACGTACGAGCTCACTTTGAGTCACTTGCCCATTAAATAATGCCATGACTTTGCCATATTTTATGCAGACCTGTGTCAGTGCTTAGACGTTACGTTTTCTGGGTTTTTTCCTTCTTTTTTTCTGTTATATAGCTCGAAAACAAGCAATAAAACTTTCATTAAATGAGTTCCCTTCAACGCCAAATAAATATAGCTGCATTTAAATAGACAACAAGGCACCAAAAGTCGAAAAATTTTGTTCGCTGGCCTTGATCAGCCAATCAAATCTTGCGAGAAAATGTTCTTAAAATTGTTTTGAATGACGTGAAAGGTCAAAGAACAAATATTCCGACAGTATATAAAATAAAACTGAATCAACGTACTGAAACAAGAAAACAAAACTCGCAGTCTTTGCTATGCCTTTGCATAAAGAAGCCAAAAATCTTTTAAAGAAATATCGATAAGTAGATAGCAAACTCTTCACTGTGGAAAAACGAAGTATTGCAACGATTGGACGAGAAAAACTTCAAAATATAAACATGAACAAAAAACCTTTATTGCAAGTTGATAGTTCAAAGGTTAGTGGAATTCACAAGTTATACGAAGATACTACAACAAAAGTTTACAAATACCTAGCAACAGCTGACGTAGAGATAAGAAATTTCAGGACAATCCAGTTTTCTCCGGTTAAAATTAAGGTTATCCGACGGATAGCTATCCACCCTGCTATCCGTGCTTCGTACAACGCATTTTTATTCGGCAGATAGCTATCCATTGGATAGGAGATTTATCCATTGGATAGGACTTATCCACTGGATAACTTATCCACCTTTCATACAACCGGCCCCAGATGACTAGACCTAAAAGACCTAATATAGGTAATACGAAAAAAAACCATACTTGCACACAACCACACACTGACGTTTGCCATAATTTGTTGAAAACGAAACAATTTTCCAAATATATGTTTTGGAATTTTGAAATCTTGTTTATCCCACTCATGAAAAACAGGAATGATAACACCGGCTCATTGAAAAGAATATAACTGGAATGCTACCTCCAACCGAAAATTTGAACCAAACATGAAGGCCGGTCTTTTTGCGCATGTGAAGAGCGCTCAATCAGTCAATATACCATGATGTAAATACATGTCTTGACCCCCTTAATTTCTTTAATTTCTTGCATAAGAGTGGTAAAACATGCACTGCTTTCCTTTTCAATCACACTGTAAATATTCTAAATTACCCTATTTATGAAAATTAATGAATGAAAGTTAACATGTGAAAGAGAGAAAAATTATTTGAAGACCAATGTAAAATTTGATGAACATTTCAAAAGATTTTACAAAGCGATTCCAGTTAAAATTTGTTAAATTTTAAATCAGGTTAAACCTACAGTATATATTTCGGAATTAAATTGATTGATTGATTGACTGACTTTGTTGACACTCCCCTAAAGGGGCTTTTCAGTGACATAAATATATATACATATCAATCCTGATGATTCCTATACGGATAAAACAGACTGTTGTGGTTTTTTGAGGTAAAACGAAAAACTATATCAATTAATTACTATATATAAGTGTACATCGGATCCTAAATTCATATAATAAGATCACGCAATTACTTTATACACAAACATGACATCAAAATTCTTGACAACAAGATTAACAACAGCAGCATACAACATGCATCAACAACGACAGCAAAAACAACAACATCAACGACAATAACAACGACAACAGAAAAACATGCCCTTAAGCTAACTATCTAGAAATTGCTGAAGCAGTTCCCGTTTCAGTTTAATTTTAAAGCTTGGAATAGATTTGCAAAGTTTTAAGTCCGGGTTAATGTTGTTCCAGAGAGTGACAGTTCTGTAATGGAATGTTTTTTGTCCTGCAGTTGATCTGTATAACGGAACATCCAGCTGTTTAGTATTTCTTGTATCACGACTACTCACTTCACCTCTCATTTTGAACTGGAACGATAAGTAGGCAGGGGCACAATCATTCATGCATGTGAAAGCTAATAGAGCATTGCGACTGTACAGATGTGACTTCACGGGAAACCAGCGCAGTTCCTTCAGTATCGGGGTGATGTGGTCAAATTTCCTTCTGTTGCTCACTACTCGTGGTGCGAAGTTCTGGACTCCTTGAAGTCGGGATAGGTTGCTGCAGGAAGTATTTGACCAAAGCGAGGAACAGTAGTACAGTTTGCTAAATACTAAGGCATTGATGACAGTTATTAAAAGGTTTTTACGGAAGACATGCTTAGTGAGATTTATCTGGCAGAGACTTGACTTGCAGGATGAAACAGTAGAAAGGATATGATTGTCGAAGGAGAGGATTGGATCAAACTTAACTCCGAGATCTTTCACTGATGAAGCAGGTGTAAGTTCCTTACCAAGTAGCGAGAGTCTAAAATCAGGTAACTTCGCAAGCATTTGGCGGCTTCCGTAGACCATCAATTTAGTTTTGTCTGGATTCAGCAAGAGCAGGTTATCAAAGCACCAGTTTCGCATTCTAATCAAATCTTCGTTTAGATCAGTCAGCGCAATGTTCGAGTCATTGATTCGGAAGGACAGAAGGAGTTTGGTGTCGTCAACGTACGATTCTCATGAACAATTTTTGGTGACTGACGGCAAATCATTCACATAAATTCTGAAAAGTAACGGGCCCAGAATACTTCCCTGTGGGACACCGCTAACCACTGGCAATTTCTCAGATAGAGTAGAGTTGATACGTACTGCTTGGTATCTCTTGCTGAGGTAACTTTTAAACCAACCCAGGCATTTAGACGAGACACCAACGTCCTCCAATTTAGCAAGCAGTATATTATGGTTAATGCTGTCGGAAGCTTTGCTCATGTCCAAAAGAATAACTGTTACTTTCTTCTGGTCAATTGCTTTAAGAATAGAGTCGGTGGAATGAATAAGGGAGGTTTCCGTTGAATGCCAGGTTTTGTTGCCACTTTGATGCACAGAGAGATGGTGATTGGTGGTTAGGTAAGACGTCAGTTGGTCGAGTGCTACACGCTCACATACTTTTGAAAGAACTGGTAATAAGGAAATGGGTCGGTTATTGTTTGCCAGCTCATGATCACCTTCTTTCGGAATGGGAGTCACTTCCACGATTTTCCAAGTATTCGGGAATATATTGTTCGCCAGAGAGTTGTTAAATTCATTATTGTGTAAAGGTACTAATCTTTCGACTATTTTTGTCATTTCGTAGTTCGTACAAAAAGCAAATGAGATGCCTTGGGATGACATAGTTACTACGGCAGAGACCATCATTGTCACTGAACCACACGTTTTCAACAGATTCGGGATGTGTATCAATATTACGATGTTATGGAAGCTTACACACTGTTGAAAATCAACAACTATCTTCCTGACCGTTATTCTTTTACTGAAGAACTCCCTTCCTTTACAGTAACAAAGATACTGGGAAAAAGAGATGTCAGGCTTCTGCGGTTAGGAGAAAAGGAAAAAGAAGTAGTAGAGTATCCCCTGTCTCTAATGTCGTGGACAGACCGTTCAACGTACATGTAAGCAGTTATATTAGTCCCAGTAATGAACCAAGGCAACAGCAGAATTTATTACGACCTTCTGCAGTTCCAGTATTACCACACCAAATGATGGAAGATCGGTATTCAGTTGCTACGTTGCCACAACAAGCAGCGCAAGCTCAGCATTCAACACCTAGATCAACACAACCAGCATGGCAAGCACAGTATTCACCATCTTCTGCAAGTTCATTATCCAGCACCTACACTACCACAACAAACTGTGCAAGCTCAGTACACACCATTTCCTTACCAACTTCAACAACTACCAACTTCAACCAGACTGCAAGGCCAACATTCGTTCATTCCGCAGCCATCGAATGGAGCATTCGAAGCATCTTATGCAATTTTGTCCTCCAGCAGTGAGAGTTTGTTTCGGCTGTTCCCAGACACTGAAACCCGCCAATCACATTTCAGATGCACCACTTGACATTGTCATCATGTCAAGAATGTTAAGAAGCTTCAACCACCCTAACACAGGGGAAAAAGTAAATAAAGAAGGAAATTTTTATATTCATCTAAACAATAAATGCATTTCCTCAAAACAACCATATTTTCATCCTAGTATAGCAACTGTGGCACACTGGGTACAATCTCAGCTCACGGCGATCCACATGTCACAACTAAGACAATGTGGCGTAAGTATTTGACAATTATACTGCTCTACTACGGTTTAGTTAAACTCTATAGATATCTGCAGAAACTAGTTAGTTAAGGTGGCTCAATCAGATACAGTTTTTTTTAAATGGAAAATGGAATATCTTACTTATGAAAAACAACATTTCTTTTAGCATATATAATTATTTTGACAATTTTAGAAAAATTCTTTTGACCCAAAATTTTTCAATAAGGTGAATGTGATTATTAATTATAAAATTTTCTTGGCTCCACAGAATTATTCTGGAATTGTCAAAACAATTCAATATATTAAGAGAAACCATTTCATGAAATAATGACTGAAGGTTGCGGTTTCGTTTCGAGTTAAATTTAAATTACTTTAAATCAAAATATCCACCATATTGAAACGTCATTGCTACCATAGCAACAATAGTTCTGTATCTTTTGTGCAAAAATGCAAAATCTTTAGGTGTTTTTATAAGTATCAAACTCTTTCACTTTCAATAACTAAAGATTGCCAAAAATACGGAACTAAATTGAAAACTTTTCATTTTTAAAAAGCAGCATTGAGCCACCAAATACCATTCTATTTCATTACATTCAAAATGGAAATTAGTTCATTTGCCCCAAACGTATGGTGTAAAATTCTTTGAAATGCATGGAAAGAAGACTTGGGAGAATTCTATTAATACGAATTTTAGATTTTATATTCCATGCACAGATAATTTTAATAATTAATGATGAAGCATTAGGGATTTATATGTCTGTTTCTAAATTAAATAAAATGAACTTGCTGTTTTGTTTCATCCTACCAATACCAGGAAATTTTAAATTTGGTCTGAGTTGTACAAGATACACCAATTACATGACTTTTATCCTTTCGGATAAAACACGGATGCGACTCAAAAAAGGCTGAAAAATTTTTTGGACCATATTTGTGTTAAGATGTGACAATTGCCGGATAGCCTACTTTTACGTGCGAACGAAAATTACAGCCGCAACTTTCATGCTTAATTTTCTCTGTCATCTGGGTATACAGAACTCCAATGTTATGCCTAATGTGCTGTTTTCAAGGGTTTTTCAATGCAGTTATTGGTTTAAATATATCTAAAATTCCCTGGAAATAAGACATTTTGTGTTTCCCAACTTGGGGTTTTATTGTGATTTTGGTGGTATTTCTTTGGTATTTGTTTGGGAATTTCCCAAGTTGGGAAAATGCTACCAATCCCAACCATGGGACAAAATATTACCATAAAAATCCCAGTTTTGGGAATATATTGTCCCAAATTAATCTCAACTTTGGGATTTTACTATCCCATACTAATCCCAGTTCTGGTTGTTTTTTTCTTCCAAAATGAATCTCAAAAATGGGACAAGATTTTCCAAAATGACTAAAATTGTCCCAAACTATTCCCAAAAATGGGATATGATTTTCCCATATCAATCCCAAACACAAGATAGAATTTTCCCATATTAATCCCAAATATGGCATAGAATTTCCCCATTCTAATCCCAATATGGGATTGTATAATTCCCTATATTATTCAAAAGACAAATTTGTTTCAAAACAATGTATTTAAGTTTTAACAATTTAACTAGAACAATTTACATACAGTGTACTTTACCACCACTGAAACTACCCAAAATAACATAATCTGCATGTGGTCTCGGACTTCCAATGAAAGTAACATACTACTTCCATTTGGTGTCTGGGACTACAGACAGGCTAAAAGTAACATAACTGCATGTAACTAACATAATATGAAATAAATAAAACTAGAAAATACATGCATGCAGAAACCCTCGCCTTGGTGACAAAACCATTGTATTTTCCGAACATGAAGTTCTAAAGTAGTTGTCATGGTAACACGATAATTTTTGTGGCTAGCCCGTTCGCGGGCTAGCCACAATGTAACACTAAAAATGTTTGTAAGATATGTGAAGTTGTGACGGAGATTGTCGACTTTACTTCGGAAACTGTCATTCATGGCATGAGGCGACGATATTTACAGTCTTCCAGATGAAGTATGTACTTAATCTATGATATTAAATCCCACTGAAAAGGTATTTAATGACTTTAATAATACTGACAGATGCCTCACTTAGCAAAATTACAGTTGGCAACACTGGAAGAAATGCTCGAAGGAATTTTTCACAGTAAACGGTAAGTTAATTTTTGTTATTTCAATCGATGTTTATGTTTAGGCAGGCCTAAAATTTGTGAATCTGTCATTTAATTTTATAATATATTAAAACATTGTTGACATTGTCTTTGTTATTCATATGTGCTGAGTTCTGCTCTGGACTCTGATTCTGGTCAAAGAGATTTTGATCTCGCTTCATATAAAGCATTATATTGAGTTTATAATACTGTTTTATAATCAAGAATTTTAATATATCATTATGTAGGTAAATTTATAAGAAGCAAGCCCATTGCTGGCATATACTACAACTCCCCTATCCACTTGCAGGTATAAAACTACAATTAACACAGAAAACAGGCTGGACTATTTACTATAGTCTTTTATGGTCACTGACATTGCAATGACTGCAAGTTAATGGGTGCTATTGTTGAGATGCCGGTTTGTGCAATGGAAGCTCAGGCTGTTTACATACAGTTGAAGGATCTTGTAGATGGAAATAATTGAGTGAAAATGTATTTACATTCATTAGACCTAACAGGTTTATCTAATTCAGCAGGGACGTAGTGATCGACAAAGGGTTTGGGGGTGTAAACCCCACAGTGAAACTCAGTTAAAATTCAAGTATAAATTTTGACATTTTCAGGTAAAATTTGCATATAATTAATAACGAAGTGGCTATTCGTACTGGAACAGTACGCGGAGTTTGATTTGCTATTCGTACTGCAGTCGGAATATTTCTTTCAATTGTCGGGAAAATATTTGTTTCTATCGATTTTTATAACCCTACCATTATAAAGGGACAGTAAGCGATTGCGATGGACGTTATTTTCGTTCCTGAAATCGATCTTTGAATCCTCGGCTTACTGTGTGGACATGACACTTGTAAAATATTTCATATTTTCTCCATGCGAGTACACGCGGGGGAGAAATAAATGCGCTTTCGCGCCTTGCGTGGAAAGAAGACATGCGAGGAAAGAATGAAGCGTGGCATTGCGTGTGAATGAATCAATGACTCAAATCTAAATTTTCAGCGCGATTTTTCGTAGCATAATTTCTTAATTTATTATTGCAATCTATATATCTTCTCAAACAAAAATTAAAGACCGTGTCAAGTTCGTTCTGCATATCAGTTCTGCTCATAACAAAGGGGGATACACACATTGCCCAAATTTTTGCATCTTTTGCATCTTTAGAACTTTTTTTGTGAATTGAAACGTACTCTAGTTTACATTTGTTTACAATTGCGAACCATAAAAGTGTTAGATATTCAGTTAGTATGTCTTATTTTACAAATATAGCAGTTCAAAATTAAACAAAGGATTTGGGGTGTTTGGAAAACACAGACCAAGAAATATCAGACCTCAGACCCGGAAAACTCAGACCCTGAAAATTCAGACCCCGAAAATTCAGACCCCGAAAAATTTTGTCACTGTTTCATTTAATAATAGCCTTTCTCACACCGCCATTTTTGGGTGGCATTTCAGCGTCTGCGAGATAAGTCCACATAACAGCGACTTTTTATAATTTTTTGGACGAATGATGGTAAGTTTGCTCATAGGCGGCCCAATCTCAGAATGAATGATCAGGTGTTGCGGGCTTTTAATGGTTTTTGTAAACAAAATTTATAGTCAACCAAAACTATGAAATTGGGGGGGCTTGTGCCGAAGGCACAGAAAATTTTTTAATTTGAATCCCGGAAATGGCATTTGCAGCATTCTGAGACACGCTTAATCAGAAAACCCAGAATTCCGGGCGCCAGAGTATGCCTGTTCGCAGGTAGTGCTGTGAATAATATAGTTAACAACAAAAATCATGACCAAAGGCACCAAAAACGGATCAAAATTGTATTTTAAAATACTTAAAACGTAGAAAACTTGGGAATCGACTCGCATTACCTAAATCCCATTCCCATTTTTGAGGACTTCATTTCCCATTCCCAGTGGCTAAATCCCAGTCCCAGCAACCCAAATCCCATTTTCCAAGTCTAAAAATAGATCAATACCAGTTCCCATTTTACCCCTTCAGGACCCTCTATATATGTCATTTTTATGTATTTCATACAGACAGACAAAATGTTTATACAGATAGACAAATGTATAGGCTTAATTCTTAAAAATTAAGTGTTTTCATAGTCTCTACAACAGCTCCTACAAATCCAGGACTTTGTTTTTGGTGGTACAGATTTCCCAGTGCACGTCAAATGGAACCATTCAAGGCAAACGTCACAGCCTATTTGCTCTTGTTTCTCATTCAATTCCCGCAAGCAGGTTTTGCAGTGCCAGCCCACTTCATTTGCTATCTTCTCTAATAGATGACTCATAGTATTCCAACCGTCAGTTGAGAAGTACTTTTTGACTCGGTAAACGTTAACTATCTCATCAACGATTTTCTTTGGGATTTTTTCCAATCGGAATATGTCACATGCTTCAATAAGATAATCATCAGACAATGCTTTACTAATGACCTTTTGTGATGTCACCATTCCTAAAATAACTGAAAGACAAAATAGAGGTACTTAATAATAATACTAACAATACTTAGTAATACTTTTTCAAGACCTCGGGCACATTTTTTTTGCAGCCGACGTATTTATTATTCACAGTAGTTTACAGGAAAATTAGCCAATCAAAACTGAGAATAAAATTATGTGAATAATAGTCTAGCTTAGTTTGCTCATCTTATAAGACTTTCAAAAACTCATTAATAATTCAGGAGGAAAACACAAAGAAAAATCATAAGTGTGTCGTTGTTTTGTATGTGATAAAAAATCATGTTAATTTACATGAACTTTAGCTTTGATTTTCTCGGTTTAGACAAAGTTTATTTTAAAAATTACTTCGCCAATGAACTCGAATAAGATGAGTCGTTTTTGAAGCCATTTAAAGCACTTGTAGTCATGTTTTATCACATATAAAACACTCCGCTACGCGTCGTGTTTTATATGTGATAAAACACTCCTACGCCTGCTTTAAATAGTACATATGATACTCACATTCTGCCTTATCTGTTGGAGATTTGTTGATGAACAAAGTTGGTCTTTTACTATTGAGCTTTCGTCTTTTTGGAAGCCCAATTGCTGTCATATCTGCCCCTTTGGGCCTTCCCCGAACTTTCATCTTTGGTGGCAGTTTGACTTCCTTCACAACGTCGACTGCAAGTAGTGAAAGATAAACGTTGAAAACGGTAATACGGTATATGATTAGCGTCATTGCATTTATTAATCAAATACGGTAACATTTTATACTGGTATGCATAATATAAATCAAGGAAGGCATTGGTAGTAATATAATGGCGTTTGAAACAATAACCCTTGTTTTTTTGTCGAAAGTAAAATACAACAAATTAACAATATTAACAGTAAAATACAACAAATTAACAGTATAAGAGCGAATTTTCATTTTTTTTGAAGGGGGGTGCAAAAATTTCTAGTGGGGTGAAAGCGCTACCGCTGAGCGAGCTTTTTACAGGGGTTAGGCATTAGGGTTAAAGATTTTCACACAAAATAGGAGGGGTAAAGCGAAATTTTGGTGGGGTTGAAAACATTATAAGAGAAGTTAGAGAGATTCTAAGGGGGGGTTAACCCCCCTAACTCCCCCCCCCCAGTAAATCCGCCCATGATATTAGTTATTACTATTATTACCTTCTGCTTTATCTCGAGGTATACGTTGACTAGATTCGCTCCCAATTTCCTTATCTTGGGGCATATGTTGGTCAGATTCAGTCTCAATTTGCATACATTCAGGGGGCTTGCTTTCGATTAGGGTCTCTTTAAACTCATGAATCGAAGGTTCGTTCTTTTCTTGACTTATTTCTATTTTAACCTCCTCACTTTCTTGCCATGAACCCAATAACTTTTTAAGGCATGCAAGACGCTCATCGAATTGTTTTCCTGAAGCCTCGCTTGCAACAGTTGCGATTTTTTGAGCAATGGAAAAGGCTTTTCTATACTTCTCGTGTTGCGATAAAATCTTTTTCCCCGAGGGCCTCGATTCTTGAATGGTTACAGAAATAAAGTCATCAGAATGATGTGTGTTGTTATGTTCATTGATTGCTTCCACACCGAGGCGAAACACCCGATGAGAATTATAAAAGTACGACTTTGTCCATCTTTTGTCGCAGAGATCAGGGCTAAATAACTGTAGTCCCAGACTACCTCTAAGGGCTAGCATGTGACGGCAAGGCAACTTCATTGATGTTGCAAAGCTACATTGACACAATGTTGGTGTCACGGAATGATCACCTGTACTGGTGGTGACAGTGTGGACACCACATGGCTGCTCGGTAAATTTTCCCACCTTTGGAACAAGGCTGAGTTGTTTTCTCACTTGAGAGAAAGCATACGGGGTGCATTGTTCATAGAACAAACGTTCATTAGATTCAAATTCATTCAAATCAACCGGTCGTTTTTGAAATATCATAGCAGCTCGGTGGTCTCTTTCCTGACGTAATGACGCAATACAGTGTTGCAAATCACGGTGGAAGTCCAAAAGACACAAATGTTTTGTAATTACCGACTTTAGTTTTTGGTTGATACTCTCCAGGCGGTTATTTGTCGAGTTTAAAAAATTGCTAAATTTTTTCTTGTTCCCTTCAACCCATTCATCTCGTATCGAGTGCCAGTTCTCGATAAAATATACCTTAACAGCACTAAACCTAGTGTCCATGAGCTGGACGTACAGATCTTGGTAGACTTCTTCGGTTGGTGCATATACCATAGATTGGATAATCTCAAGCACTTGGAGCCGTTCGTCCACAGAAATTCCCATTTTCTCAGTGGTAATTTCCCTTTTGAATGAGCACATCGTGTGGAACAAACAGATGAGCAATCCGGCTTGTGGAATCTCTTCTTTTATCACTTTCCGTTCTGTCATGTCCTTGTCAGCCATGACACAGTTAATCTTCTCCCAGGCTGCGTTATGTTTTTTAAACAGTCTAATCATTTTCCGAATCGTATCGGCTTGCTCATCTGCCAATAGCATAAGCCCAACGATTTCACTTTCACCGTTTCCATCGACAGCAAGCATCACATATAATGGTAATCGTAGATTGTTCAATTTATATGTGGCGTCGATCAGTAAAATTTCGGGAAAGGCATCAAATATCCATCTCATTTCTTCATCCTGATAGAAGAGACCTTTAAAGTTTTTTTCTTCATCAACGTACAATTCCACTTTTCCACCTATACAAGCAAATTACAGAACATTTAATACTGTATAATTAATATAGAGTCAAATTATCACTGTTACATATACAAAAACCTTTGTAACTTGACTACTGTAACTGGCTCGGCTAATAGCATCAAGAAAACGATTCGACCCCACAGAGGAAATTTATGCTGTCCAGGTGTAGAATCTTTTCCTGATAACAGTGAAATGTACTAGGATGGGGATGTTTTCTGGAATTACCTAATACAGTTTGTAACAAAACCACCATACGCTTACCAGGTTGACTTTTCATATCTTCTATTAATTCAGTTAGATTACCATCCTTTCTTTCCACCATGTTGTGTATATCCTTGAGTGTCATGGACTTCCCAGTTGAGTGTAGGATATGTTGCTGTATCAACTTCTTGTTAGCCTTCATTTCCAACATTCTTTTAACATCTTCTTTGGTTTCCCCTTCCACTCGTCTTTGCGTTGGAAGATGTTCAAAGGACTTCTAAAGAACATAATGAAATATTGCTTCACAAATTGATAAAATTGTTCGATTTTTTATTTAAAAATATGTTGTCCAAACCATTTCCTAAACTAAAAATAGGGTTTAACTTGAATGGACGACAGCGACTTGTACTTACATCTAATACTATACATACCCAGGGCCGCCGAGGGGGGGGGCAGAGGGGGGGGGGGCAAATTGCCCCGGGCCCCTGAATTTTTTGTTGGGCCCCAGTCTTTTCTGTGTGTTAAATATTTCCGCGCAAAGGACAAGATATCTGTGTTTTCGGGCTAAGTACCAAAATTTGGCATGAAAAATTGAGATAAAGTCCCTGGAAAGCAGTTGCAATGTACTCGTCCGGAAAAATTTTTAACCTAAAAAGTTGTCGATGGGGGAGGGGGGGAGGTTTGTTCTCCGCAAAAAAATTTGCCCCGGGCCCCCGCCAACCTCTCGGCGGCCCTGTACATACCTTATTCACTTCATGGTTGTGCTCCTCAGACATCTCAGTGACTACCAGTTTCGTTCCATCGGCTGATGGTCTTAACTTAATAAGTGCTGGACAATTCATTTGGAAAGTGCTGCAATTAGACAACAGTAAACGTGTCAAAATTAGGGAATTACACTGAACCCGTCAACATCCAACTCTTCCTCTTTGACAAGTAAGATTGTCTGGCATCAGACAGAGTAAAATTTTAAATTAAACAAAGCCATCAACAAAAATTTGATTGCTTGCTCAATACCTCCTGCAAACTGAGCAAAGAAAGTAAAACTAAATTTCAAGGCTGTTAGCCAACTAGAAAAGAGTAAAATTGATGCACTCATTGAAATCACATTTTAGTGTCAAGTAATTTCAAAATACCTGTAGATATAATAGATCTTTTTAATAAGTCCGCTTTGTGATGTTTGCAGATAAAGGAAAACCCTGCACAGCCATTTGATGTGCCAGATTGGCCAAATGGCTGTGTGTGGTTTTCCTTTATCTGCAAACTACATCACAAGGCAGACTTATTAAAAAGGTCCATTTACAAATAAAACACAGACTACAAACAACACACAACATAATAACCATTAAACAGAATAGAACTGAATGCTACCTCCAACTGGAAATTTGGTGCTAAAGCAGAAGGCCAGTCCTAGTCTTTTCATGCATACGAAGATCGCTGAATCAGTCGATCATGTCATAAACACACACGATCTTACCTCCAGACACGCGTGTCTGGAGGTAAGATTTGGCTTAAAAAAAAAAGAGTTTATCTGAAGGTAGCGTTCCAGTTATATTAATTTCAATGCATAATAATTAACATACTGTTGATTTGGTCTGATTCCTTTAGACTGAGACTTGAAATGCTTTCCACCATGCACACATCGGAAGTCAACCTCACTGTATTGCAAATCAGGGTTGAACTTCTTCTTTGGGCATCTCTTTGCTGCTGCTTGAATACTTAATGAGTTTCGTTTATAAAATTGTACATAGTTTTTGCCTTGGTATGCCTGCAATGTTTCTAAGACTTTAGAATATGAAGAAAATGTTTGACCTTTCTCTAGGTTTGTTTCATTGAAGGCCCTACTTGCAACTTTAGACTTGGCTTGGGACTCTTGGGTGGCGAATTTTATATCTTCTCGCTTTTCCTGTGTTAATTTGTCCAAGGAATATGAAACAGGCACGGTCATGCTACTAGGTGAGATTTCTGATAGATGTTCTTTGCAGTTCTCCATGGCGTGGTTTTTATGTGATTGTTTATTAGGCAAGTGCTGCCTGTATGTTGGAGGTTGTGGTAGGTACAAAGTTATTAGTTAGAACAAACTTTGTTGGTAATGGTGCTTTGAAGCTGACATTGGCATGTGAGAAACCCAAAGCTGATGTATCTATCTCTCCATGCATGATCCATTCAATAAGTACTCTTCGCAAGTAGGAAGAATGTGTGGAGGGGCGAGTTAGCCAACTCAAGCTATCTGGGAAAGTATTGCTTCTGGAAAGAAAACAAGATGCCCACATGTTTGGCTGTAAGCAAATCAGTGAAGCAATAACAACAGCTATTACCCCACAGACACTAGCACAATCCTGAAGTGGGATGTTTTTGTAGCATGAATTCAGACATTTGTGCCTACCAACATCATCAATACTTGTCTTGTGAGCCAGATATCGACCACAAGTTTGTTTTCTGGATAAAGAAGAAGCACAAAAGAATGCATCCAGAATGGGATTCACATAGTCAAAAAGGTCTTTTGGTGGAGCCCATCCCAAGGTGTCTATATACCAATATTCATTTGTTGTAGTATCAACATAGAGTACAACCCAGTGACATCCTTTTTGCGAAGGCGTTCCCACATATTGTGAACCGCCTTTTGTTCCAACATTCACTATGAATGTAAAATATTTACAAATATCCCCCCTACTTGTTTTAATGAGTTCCTCGAGATCTTCTGCTTTCAAACCAATCAATCTGTTCAAAATAAATGTTCTTGTTTCTGTGTTATAGCTATTTAAAATATCTGCATATTGACCAATTACGTTTATGTTTAGCCATCGTTGACAGGTGAGAGTTGCCAAATCCTCAGACAAGACCGACTTACCCAAAACAACTTTATCGTTACTGTTATTAAAAATTAATTCTTTGAAACTTTCCAAACCTTGAAGTGGGGCACAAGTTTTGTGTGGTTGCTTGCACATATTCTTCTAGCCATTCCTTTTCATTCTTCACATTTCTTGCCAATTCTTTAAGTTTATGCATTTTCAACAAATGCTCAACTGCAGCCTTATCAAAGGTACCCAAATAACAGGATATGGCACTGTACACATCATCATTTAAACAATCCAGCATTGTTTGACAATCATTCTCACAAGGAATAGCTACCAGGGTAGATACTTCTGTGATATGAAATGGTTTCTTTATGTGCAGGGTTTGAGTTCCACTGGTTCCAACAGCTGGAAATAAAATATCGGCCAGGATCCCTCGGTTCACTGTGTAGTACAAATTACTACTGATAATGTCCTGAAACAACACAACAGTTAATGCCATTATACACAGCTAATTCAATTAAGGTCGTCCCTGAAGGTCAAAAATTAAATTAAACTTCAAACTCTAAGCATGAAAAGCATAATAAGCATAACGGGGGCTTACATTTCCAGTTACAGTAATTGGAATTATTGATGGTTGTTGGATACATATTTCAGTGGTAATTGACAAAGAAAGAGATTCGTCCCCATCTCCTCTTTTATATTTAAATTAAAGTGGTAAAATATTATATTAATTAGGGGTTCATCCCCTATTTTGACTTCAGGGGTGGACCCCTTCGCAACCCCCCCCCCCCCGAACCTTCTCAACCCCTCCTCCAATCTCCAACATCGTAAAGGGAGCAGTCATTATTAATGCCGGGGGTGGGCCAGAAGATATTGAGGGGGGGGGACCAAAAATGTATTAACCACTTAGGGGGGGGGGGCACCAAAAATAATGTACAATAATCGTAAAACATCGGCAATTATTCAGTGTAATATAAATGTCATTGTTATATAGTTAGTGTCAAAGTTCAATTTTTCTGTTTGCTGATAAGTCATAACCGTACACGTGCCGGTCCACACATGACCTTGGGAAAACAGTGTGTTTTTTTTTTCCCCCTCGACCGCTGTTGTTGCCCTTGGCTTCGTCTCAGGCAACAACGGCAGGCTCTGGTCCACAAAACACTGTTTACCTCGGTCTCAGTAAATAAGTGATAAATGTGGTAAACACTGTTTACCTCGGTCTCAGTAAATAAGTAATAAATGCTATATAAGTATAGGTAATCACCATAGAAATAATAGATACTATCTATTATTTCTATGGTAATCACACAGGAAGGAGTGCAATTAGTGATTACAGTAACACTACGAGTGATATTTTAAAAATGTGCCAAAATTGCACAAGCTGTTAATCATTAACAAACTTACATAGTCATGTTTTGCTGCATCTCGGCGCGATTATTTCTTAAAACTGTCTCCAGGTATTTTCCACAGGCTCGCTTTGCCATACTATGTTTTTTAAACTCATTCTTCGTCCATGTGGTATTTATCAAAATTATACAATATTGGACTTTTGTTGTTTTGATCCCCCCCCCATCACAAAAATCATTAATTGCACCACAGGTGGTCCAATCTTGCAAGGGTCAGTATAGACTTTATATACCAGTACCATCAAGTGCAAAGTCTCGGAAAATATTAGTCCAACAAAAGAGGAATAAAAGGAGAACACACTATCGAATAGGCAAGTCAATTTCATTTTAAATTTATATTTTATGACATATTTTTACTATATTATACATTACTATATAAAGTCTATACCGACCCTTGCGAGATTGGTAAGCTACAAGGGTAAGACGTAAGAAGGGGTAAGACGTAAGAAGGGGGTAAGACGTAAGAAGGGGGGGGGGGTATGAAAATTTATTATATTTAAAAGGAGGGGCCATGGAAAAATATTTGGAAGGAATAAGGGGCCATGAAAAATTTACCACGAGTTTAGAAATATCTTCCAGCCCACCCCCCGGTATTAATAATGACTGCTCCCTAAGTGGGGTAGGTCTTTTTCAACTATTGTTTTTTAAAAAATTTTTGCTTGTGTCAATATATTTTAAATATAATCCCTTGCATGAATTTTTTCAACTTATAATTTTCCCTATTGAAAATTTGTACACGAATTATTTTTTCTTTCGTGTCTCCCCTACTCCTCCCCCCCCCCCATCACTGCAAATGGCCACATTATCCGGGGGGGGGGGTCGCAAACTTGCAGCTGGAATTGCCTGATGCATTAGCCCAAATACATACAGCCGATACAAACTATTCGGCAGATAACATGTTATTGACACCTACCTTCAATATTAAATCAGTGTCTTGTTTCATAGGGAAAGGCTCTACAAAAATTAAAGATAAATTAGATAACAGCGATTGTTTAGTGACAATTCGTTATCGGTTTCGATACTAAAATTTCACACAAAATTGCAATGTAAAATAGAATAATATCGATAAGCTTACTTTTTGGAATCCGCAATCCTTTTCTAGCTTTCATAGCGCAACTGGCAACCAGCTAAGATGATTTTTGCTATAAGATGATTAATAAAAGTGCGGCAAAAAATCGCGCTGAAAATTTAGATTTGAGCCATTGATTCATTCACACGCAATGCCACGCTTCATTCTTTCCTCGCGACACTTCTTTCCACGCGAGGCGCGAAAGCGCGTTTATTTCTCCCCCGCGTGTACTCGCATGGAGAAAATATGAAATATTTTACAAGTGTCATGTCCACACAGTAAGCCGAGGATTCAAAGATCGATTTCAGGAACGAAAATAACGTCCATCGCAATCGCTTACTGTCCCTTTATAACGGTAGGGTTATAAAAATCGATAGAAACAAATATTTTCCCAACAATTGAAAGAAATATCAATCAATCAATCAATCAATCAATCTGTTTAATTAAAACCAATTTGCAGTTTTTAAAGGAAAACTGAATTACATGGAGTACTAATATAGCATAAAAATTTATATTAAAATGTACATATATATATATTATATAAAATAATGTTTATTTAGTTAGGACTGTTAATTAACTATAAAGCTAATAATATTTCCTAGTCACGAAGTTTTTTAACCGTTCAGTGGTTTCTGACCATAAAGGTTGTATGTATATTCCGACTGCAGTACTAATAACAAATCAAACTCCGCGTACTGTTCCAGTACGAATAGCCACTTCGAATTAATAAAGCTGCTATTTTTGTGAAATGATAGCCATTTTTTATACAGTCAATTTAGATTCAATTTGTTTGCAAATGTGCTTTGAAAACACCAGAAATGTAGTAGTGGAGCTTAAAAAATATAAACATTTTCTGGGGGAGGACCCCCACACACCCTTTTCTTAGGAAACTTAGTATCACAGTGGAAATCAATCAGAAAAAGCTCTATTATATAATTATTATACTTCAGGTAGATTTTTAACATTGAAGTTGATGCTTTGCTACGTCCCTGAAGATCAGTGCAATCACCATACAACACTAACCCTTGCAGTTGTGATGGTATATGAAAAAGCAAACACACAGCCATTGTGCTGAGGTCATATCGACAAGTTTCAACCTTTCTTTTCCATTTTCAGCATTTATTAACATGGCTCAGTGTCAATTGAGTAGCATGTTCATACTTTATAGCTAGAGTTAAATGTTGTATAAATTTATACCTGCATCTTTTACAATATTTCATTTGCAGATAAAAGCACAATTCAAAAGCATAGTGGTGCATGACTGACATCTACAGTACTTCAAACAATCATGTCAACACATATTCTGGACAATTTGCTGATAATATGGCGACTGGTGATAATATTGGATAATATAGGAAGATCAGAATATGCAAGTATCAGGGCAATACAACTATCAGACAAAAGTTTTAGTGGTGATGACATAATTGATTGGATGAGTTCATGATAAATTACAATGCTTTTAGATCTTACAATAAATATAAATGTTTAGAAATCTAGTATTAAATATTGTATTAATGAAGAACTTTGAATTTAACCCATTGCAACCTACATTTTTACTAGTTTAACACCAAACAATTTTACTTGTCAGTGGGAAAGCTCTGCAGCTTAATGGGTTAAAGGTTTGTGAAATCTGCGATGCCAACAATTCAAGAAAAGCTAATAACTTGCAAACCAGACGCCAGAATATATTTATAACAAGAAACCCATGTAATGAAATCTTAGTGAATTACATATTAGTGAAATTTTGAAAAACAATAAAAGTGACATCATTAGTTGCCGAATATATGCTTATTATTAAAGTGTGACTCGATAATATTGTTGGCTGAACCATTGCTACAAACCATTGCTTTTAAATCGAGTGATTGTAGCCATTTGTTGGCATTGTAAGAAAGATACTGCATCTGTTTTATTTTGTATTATTAATTTTGTATCACAATGAATGTTTGTGATGAATGTTTATGACAATTAGCCATTTCGAAGTTGATGAGTGGACTGGGGATGAGTGTTAAAAAGTGTCCAAATTAAGAAATGAATCAAATCACTAAAAAGACCACCTCAAAATTAGTAAGTATACAAAGTTTGAAGACGTTGACATGAATATCCTTCGAATAATAAGCTTTCAAAAATCGTGATATTTACTATGAAATGTATTGTAATTTTCGTTTTTGGGATGCTCGTCCCAAAAACAATCTTTTAATCAGTAATTTCACAATTTTTGACAGCTTATTATCAGAAGGGTATTCATGTAAACGTCTTCAAACTTTGTATATTTACTAATTTTGAGGTGGTCTTTTTAGTGATTTGGTTCATTTCTTAATTTGGACACTTTTTAACACTCGTCCCCAGTCCTCTCATCGACTTCAGAATGGCTAATGTGAACTCCAGCTGTATTCGACAGGCTGAATAGCAGGGCTGCATAATATAGCGGACCGCAGGACCATTGGTACCAGAAAATTTTTGAGGTTGGCAGAAAAAAATGGAGGGTAAAACTTAAAAGTCTCAAAAGAAAAAAAAGTAAAAAGAAAGGAAGAAAGAAAGGAAAAACAGAAAGGAAGAAAATGAGAAAAAATTACATAATTGAGTAATAAGCTGTAGGTAGTGAACTAGTGATGTTTGCAACATGCAAGTAATACAAGTTCCCAATATACCAGGAAGGGCGGCACTCCAGCAGCCTGATATTATGGTCAAAGACAGGCAGACAGCCATCTAGCAGATATTAAGACGAAATCCTCTATGCGGTTGTTTTAATCTATTTCATCTAGTGTATTAGCTACTTCTGAAAATACCACTCCAGTTATATATGAATAAAACTCATTTAACAACTACAGTATGTGGATTAAAAAGTCTACAAGTGTGGTGATTTCTTACAATGTAGTAAAAAGCTAAGCAATATGTTCCAATACACAACAGCCTTCTGCCCTTCTCATGAACTTTCATCCATTAATTAAGATGATATTCATAACAAATATATTAAAATTATAAGAATCTAGAATCTTAAACAGCAGACAGTTCCCAGCGGGTCACATTCATTAAAATGTAAATGTTTGTTGTTAAATTAAAATATAAGGAATATTTATTCCCTAGCCACGTTGAAATACATCTACCTGCTGGCAGTGGTTTCGGAGCTGAGGAGAAACTACTGCGAGCAAACGAACAACTTTCTATCGAGCATGGGCGAAGATCATGTGGTGGAACATACGTCACTAATTTGACTTCATTTCCTGTAGTTTGACAGTTTGTTATCTTTACGTAAATAAGCGTGGCATAGTACTGTTTTATTTGTTGTCTGTCAGTTTTAATCGAACGACTGTTTATTCTACATGCAGTTCACAATTTATGTATCGGTTTTAATATCGTTATTGTCAGCACAAAAATATTTTGAAATCAGTGCCTCACCTTACGGCTACAAATCGTGCATTTGAATTTCTGTTATATCTTTTTAATTTTTTTAATTCGGTCTGCAAACTTTATTTGTGTTACTCAAACGTTGGAGATTGTGTTAAGGTTTTTGATAAATTCCAATTTGGCTTGCATTTTACCAGCAGTGCCAAGCAATTACCCATGCGCACAACAAAAACTTGTTAAACTTGTTTTACTGGTTTCTCATTTAATGTATTCGTCCATGAATCTGGACGGTGGCTACATGAAACGATCATTCGTTTGCTCACAGTGGTTTCTCCTCAGCTCAGTTAGAACCCACTGCTACAATCATCACTATAAAAGTATCACTCAAACAGCATTGTGATATCTATAAAGAGAAAACTATTACAGGCTGTTTTTAAACTATTACAGCAGATCGTACATTCATACATAAACATTACTCAGCCCTCCCCCCACCTTACAATGTTGGTTCCGCGGCTATTTCCTATCGCCAAATGTTGTGTAATACTCGTGATTATCGTATGTTCTTGAACACAACGTTGCATGGGGGAGGGGGAGGGAAGCACAATGTAAGCCCAAAATATTGTACTTTATTTTCAAATAATAAATGCTTTCAACTTGTCCCAAAGTAATTGTTCTATGATTGTAGCAGGGTAAATACGTCTATTTTGGTTCCAAATCTAATGAAATGGTGCATAGAATACACTGAATGTTGTTTAGTGATCAAATTTAAACATAAGATTCCCAGTGTTTGCATGCAGAAAATATTTTCATTGGCTTTGTGGTCCCAGAAAATAAAATATTTTATGCAGCCCTGCTGAATAGGCTAGCCACATGTACGCAGTGCGTCCTATTTTTTAAGAATATTCTTACAAATGAAAAATCGCCTAAAAATATCACTTTTAATTACAAAATTATTAATTTCCCAAACATATATACGTTAGGTATGTTATTATACGTAATATAAACTTCAATTTAAGGTAAAATTCAACCACAAACGCTTTGCAAAACGTTTTAAAGTGTTGTTTATAAAACTAAACTGCCTTTAATTAAATGGCTTTATCGATAAACTTTGAGTTTGCAATAAAATGATTTCAAATTCTCGCATGCAAATAACTTTGCTTTCTTTTTTATTTAAAAAATTGTATGTTGGTTTAACATTGCATGAACATTAACATTATATTAATACTAAATTGCAATCTCCTTTGTAACAGTAAAACTGCCCTTCTTTAGAGAATTCACCTGCACATCTTTATCTATAGCAACATAGTTATGTTTTATAAGCTTCTTTGCCATCACCTCCATTACATTAGTATGGGTGAGTGAACTTAAATACTTCTGCTGCACACTGAATTTGCTTTTCAAAACTTTCACAAGCTGGCCTCTGTCTGGTTGCATACCAAATACTGCCTTAATAAGTAAGGTAGATACACGAAGGGACAATTTTTCATTGCACTTGTTCTCAATCTTCTTGTGAGCAAGAAATGGATTCGTCTGATAGATCAGCTTCATCACTTTTGTCACTTGCGTTACCATCCTCATCATCACTTTTGTAAGTAGTGGCATCACTATCAATATCACCAGTATCCTATAACAGTATAACATGTACACTGAGTTTGCTTACAAACATTACCAAAGAGAGTTTGTGCCAAAGTTATGATAAGTTTGTTTCGATCCCAATTGGGATATTGTTGTGAACAACAGATACTGCTTGGTGGAAGGAAGTTGGTGGGATCAGATGATGTCAGACATGCCACTTTAGAATAAGCTGCAGGCACATACCATTTTCTTGTCAAATAGTGCTTCTTCCTGATCACCTATTGCTTTTTTAACCTTTTTTGCCTAGAAGACCGAACAACATCATTGTAACTTATACTATACCTTCTCATCTCAATTTGGTAGCATATTCTATTGCTAAGTAACTCCTGCATATTTATGTACAATAAGATCAATGTATATTATCTCAGTATTTACAAGAGATCGCAGTGGCGGTGGAGTACTATTGGTCTCATCGGATGAGGATTTATCACTCTAAATTTTAATGTGGACAAATTTAACACATACATATGGTAATTGTAATTATATATAATACACTTAATTATGCTAAAATCTAACCCATTTTAATGACCTTTAAAGTGTATATGAAACAAAAATTATTATCGTCTTATCAGAAAGATCTCTTAAAATGGTTTTGTAAACTATTTTGCATTTACTTGCCTTGTTGATGAGATATTTCAATTTGTTTATGACCTGCACAGGGTTTTTTTGAGTTGACACAGAATACATTATCTGTTTTATTAGCATACCAGCATAATAGCAGTTTTAGAAGTATTGCAGTTTTAGAATTTTTGTAGAATTTCAACATACCAACATTTCCTGTTGTGAATACTTATTTCATTTAATTTTAACCAAAATTCCAGGACTACCCCCATAACAGGGTATTTGACTACTTATTTTTTCAAAAGTCAAATTACCCGGGGGTTGGGGCTGATCGCGGTTGGATTTGACTTGTACATTAGTATATCATATTTTATAAACATAGCTGTTCAAAATGTAAACAAAGCTTTGTTTACATTATGAGTGGAGAGCACCTTTAATTCTGTATCATTCACTGCACACACACACTCATGATAAAGTTCTCAACTCAAGAAATACAACTCTTATCAATGTCTCATATGACCTGTTAAAACTGTCAGTATAACATGGCCAGCTGGTTATCCTGGCTTTCATATTAATGCTTTAAAGTTTACAAACAGAACATTAAAAACTAAATTAAGAACTGTGAACACTTTTCATTCATGAAACGTGTTCAAAGTTAAAACCACAAGCGTTGAAAACAAACACAGCTAAAAAAAGTCGAACAACTTACTTAGATAGGTAGAGGCATCTGAGTTCTGGACTGAAAGACACCATATCCATCATAGTTGGCTTGACTAACGTCCTTGCCACAGATAAAGGAACTTGCCTGGGCAAAATCTTTTTGAACTCATCTTTAAAACGACAGGCTTTACCATAGTTGACCCCAACCTTTGAAATATTGGCGTATCTGCTTCCCTCCCGACAAGGTCACACAACGAACTGCAGCAAGTGATGTCTTTGTCTATAAATGCAATATTATTGCTTTAAGAAATCTCGATAAAAATTTAAGACTAAACAAAACAAAATAAAATGATTTGAAAGCAAACGTGGCAGCAAAATAATTTGTAAATTTAACAATGCTTTTATATTTATAATTACCTCGAAAGGCCTTGGCCACTTCTGCTCCAAATAAATCTGAAAGCTTTGATAAAAAGTTCTCGGTACTAAGTCCACTGTCTTCCTTGGTTTGTTCAGAGGCACTCATATACCGATATGTTCACTGCCCCTGCCCAAACTGCATGGGACGGGCAACTGACAGAAGCACTGAACGGAGACATCAACACTGGCAGAATATAAGCAAAAACAGGTCAGTTGACCGGAGCAGAGATGATCATACCAAAACCCGCGATTTGAATGATGAAAATGCCAATTGCAGAGATAGGAACGAAGATGAGGCAACAACTAATGGTGAAGATAATACTTCAGATATGAATTCCAGTGGTGATGATGACGACGAGTGTCTTGATGAACGTGGATCTGTACATCGTAATGACAATTTGGGTGAAGATGTTATTGGTGATGAAAATCCGTTGAAAAAACTTGTTGTTGATGCTGTCATGAGTGCCCTGAGAATTATGAAGGAAGGTGGAACATCTATTAGAACCTTTGAAGATATACTAGAATATGGTAAAAATCTGTTACTTGCTGGCAATATTAGTGAAGGTATCGATTGTGATGTATTACTAATATTGTGGTAAAAAAACTGGGCTAATGTGCAGAAGCTACTGCAGGAGGAAGGATATGAAGACGCCAAAGAATATTTTATTTGCTTCTGTTGAGAGGAGAAAAAGACCACAAGGAATAGTAAAACAACTACAAAATTAGTTTATAGTGGGAAATATAGCTTAATGGAGAATAAGAATGATTCCTGTAAACACTGTGGCAACAGGGGATATTTGAAATATTATTATCTTGGCTTAAAAGCTAAAGTAAAGAACTGGTTCCGAGATCCAGACATGTGCAGGAAGATGTTGTCACACTGTAATGAACGTGCACATTGGCTTGGAAGAACTGAAAGTTATGATGACAAAAGTGAGCTCTGGCATGGGGAGAGATGGGTTGAATTACAATGGTTTTGGGATCCTAACACTATCTGGGTGTTACCAACCCTTTGCCCATTATGTGACATACCAGTGTCAGGCGACCACTTGACAAATTCTCCCGATTGTCCTGATGGGTCTAAAGAAGTTGAATGAAAGAAAGATTAGATTTTTTGACAAATTACTTCTTTCTTAATTTTTAATTTTGTGTAAAAATTACGCGTTACAAAAAGGAACACTAAGCAAAATTGGTCCTTTATGTAACCTTTCAAAACCAGTTTTCCAATTTACTGGCCATTTATGGTCACGAATGATAAGATTCAGGGGGCACAGGTGTTGAATATCGCATGTGAACTCAAAAATCATCTTACAACCGCAAAACTATGCTTTTTTCAAAAGATAAGACACCAGTTTTCATCTGGCGTTTTTTTGCTTATGGAGCACATTATAGGCTCAATTTCAGTAAATATTAACACGATAACACTTTTAGATTCCTGACATTGTCCAAAAATGTTAGACAAAGAGACTAAGATTTTTTATAGATTTTTTAAAACCACCCTTAGCTTCACCCCTTCTTTTAGGCTGCACCCCAGGTGTAGTCAAGGTGAAGTCCAAGTTAAATCGCACATAAAAGGATTGGGACTAGTTATTATCTTCCTTCCTTCAGTCTCTGGTGCTTTGGTTCTATTTTGATAATAAAGCTTCAATTGTGCGTTAAAAAAGCGAGAGAAAAATACATCTTTGAATATTTCTTGGCTGGAAGAGGTTCAGTGGATTCACCATTCAAAGGTTAGTTGAGTTTACTCAAATATGCATTGTAAAAATAATACATTATTCATGAATTTTGTCAGTGTATCAAAGAATCGCCATTTTGGAGTAGGCGCACGAGGGCTTTACATTTTTTTTTTTTTTTTTAAATACTGCAGCTTTGCTATGTATAATAACGAATAAGTGTAGAAGTGATTATAGTAAGTCATGAAGCCAGTTTGTTTCATGTCAGGAGCTATCTAGAAAGCATATAAGTTGCATATTTATGGCATTTTCTGTGCTGGCTTTTACAATTTTATTGAGAACAATACCATGCTGTAAATACAACTACCTGAAAAATATCGAAAAAAAAAGCTAGGCCCTTTGTCTGGAAGTTGAATGTAATGAATACAACATAAAAATAAATATATAATCATAACTTAACTAACAGCATTATAAAATCTCTCATTAAAGGTTATATATTTACATACAAATGCTGAGAAAAATAAATAGCTATATTAAACTGCATGATTGTGAAAAGTTATAAAACAAAGTGAGGTATAGAGATACTGTCAATATCTGGTAAAGTCAAACATAGCCAGATAAAAACTACATAGAAAACACTTGTTAATTAATTGCCATTCAGGTGAAGAGTGCCAATTTTAGCAAAGTGAGATGTAGTTTAATAGTTTATGCCTTGGATATATGGGACTTATCCAAAACCCAGTGACCACAGTAAGGTAGCAGGCATTTAGCAAATGCATATGTAGTAATACTGCCAGTCATACATATAATGGTCAAAAAGAGGAGAGCTAAAGCCTGTGAGAACAATTGCATCCTGTGTCCAAGAGACATGACATGTCTCATTTCCAAACTTGGCACTGCTCACTCCAATGGTTTTACTGAGTACTTTTATAATGTAGCACTTGCCTTAAATCATCCATGCCTACCGTCATCATATATTAACCCTTTAAGTGGCAATGCCGATGCGCGCAAATGTGCCCTACTTTATTATTTTACTCTGTCTAACGCCAGATTATTTTACTTGTCAGGGGGAGAGTGCTACCACACAATGGGTTAATCAGACAATCTGCCCATGCATCCTGCTAACCCTTTAAGTTGCAATGTGCCCAGATGCACCTTACTTTAGTATTTTACTCTAATGCGAGATTATTTCACTCTGTCTACGGTGGCTTATACAGTAGTATCTTGTTTTACTAAACTAATTAGCAAGTTTTAATCATGAGAATCCAATGGAAACACTTCTCAAAGGCCGAGTAGTGTTATTAAACACTTTGTTTCAATTTTAAAATCCTTCGAGCATTTATACTCTAATATCTGAAAGTTTGACTAAATCTCAGCCATTTAATTCAAGGTGGCTTGGTCGTGCTTTACTAAACTAATTAGCAAGTTTTAATCATGAGAATCCAACGAAAACACTTCTCAAAGGCCGAGTAGTGTTATTAAACACTTTGTTTCAATTTTAAAATCATTCTGAGCATCTATACTCTAATATCTGAAAGTTTCATGTAATTTTGTAAGACAGTTTTTGTGTTAGCATGACTTTTTCAGCTGTAGTCTTACTTTATTCTGACTTAGCAAAATTCAATAATTTTATCATGTCATCTCAATGTAAATTTGGTTTCATTCAATGTATATCAAAGATCTACCACCAAGATACAGTACCGTCCAAAGGAAACTATACATCGAGTATCGAGCGCGTTTCGCGTTCGAGCGAGAAACATTTGAGCGAGTATCGAGCGTCTCGCTTCTCGAATCGCGTTACCTATCGAGTTTCGCGAAACGCGAAGCGCGATTCGAGTCGTCGCGATGCGAACCAAAGAGATTTTCGAGTAACGAGATTCGAGTATTGAGTATTCGCGAAGTTCATGATTTAAATGCGTTTACTTTATAAGCTCAACATCGATCGTTTTAATTTGAGTGTAGTTTGTCCTTACACATGGCGGGTTTGTATATATTAACGTTTGCAACAACAAATCGCAGAGACAAAGACTCTGTCTCTGACGAGATATTTACCATAAATTTATCGATAGGAAATAAAACAGAAATATTTTAAATAAGAATGACATACCAACTGTATAGATCACACCAGAGACAAAGAAGGCTACTTGCTATGTACGCATCCCAATCTGATACTTTGTTCTTTTAAACTGCTATACCAGTCTTATCATCCCATTGATTAAACAGCAAATTAATGTACTCATACCGTAACCGTAGTTTCTTTCTGTCATTTTGCATGTTTCCTACAGAGCTATCACAAGTAAATACGAACACATATGCATATTTCATCCGGTTAATTTGCATTTCAAAACCGGCATGCAAATGGCGAAAATGTAACACTAAACCTTACTGTGTGTGTGTGTGTGACAACAATATCAATCCTAAACCGCCACACAACCGAACAAGCTCTCAGGTTAAAGCCACGTAAAGAAGTAGAAATAGTTTCTAATTTTGAAGTTTTACAATGGGCAGACTTTCAAGTTACGCTAAACAAAGAATTTTGCATTTACATTCAACGAAACACAAGATCTCACATATGCGTTTTTAATCATCTCGTTTTAATTTGCAGTCTTCATAGACGTTTGGGTAGTTAGTAATTCTATTGCAAAACAAACTCCGAATAGTAGCGTCTTGTGCTCTCAATATCTGAGTTATCAACAAGAATACATGATATACAGTACAGCAATATTTCAATTTTATTTCAAAATCATTGTCAAAACTCCATGCTACCGCATGTCTTGTATTTTTGTCCTAACTCAAATCTTGAGAGCACAACTAAGATGTTATACTATTCAGGTTTTGTTTTGTATTTCCTAAAGTTGGAAAATATTGAAATTCGTCCGGTACCATGTAAATGGGCAACCTCCGTCGCAGGGACTTTCCACCGGCTGGGAAAGACTCTGCTATCGGCTGGTCATGTGTCTCCCAGAATCTGGGAGATAACAAACAATTTCAATTAGGGTGGGTACCTAAGTATGTTTTGTCATTGAGCAAGGAGTGAGCGAAGAAATAACCCAGAAATCATGCAGGAAATATTTACAAAATTGTAAATTTTATTTGTCATGAAGACTATCAATGTTACACAACAGTAAATATCAAATTTCATTGTGCGAAGAATGTCGGTGAGCAAAGATAGATCAGAATTCAATAGACAAATTATGCCGACACAGCTTGTCGAAGAAATCAACACGTCGCAAACGTTACAAGAAAATATATTTCTACACCAGTACCGACCGATGTGGCTGTTATTTAGCTGTTGGTGTCTATCCTAAACTACAAGGATTTATTTAATACTGAGATTGGAACGAAATATATAGAGATCTTTTGATTTGTGAAATATCGCAAACTATGTTGCTTTGTAAACAAAGAACCATCCTCAGAGCTCGATGCTCAAGAAATTTGTCGAAGTATACCTCCCTGTTATCAATCCTACAGTAAAATAATCCGACTCAAAGATAAGTGAAAGACTCGTCTGTGCGTGTATGTTACAAATACGAATACTGAATATGTTTGACATTTAGGACATTTAGAGAATGCAGTCCTCATGATAAATAGCTTTAATTGTGACATTAGCTTTACTGTAATGAAATTACTTTTAGATAAACCATCGACAGTTTTAAAGTGAGCATTTAGTCTCTGTTCGGCAGTGTCCACATGTTTACATTGTGATTTGTGACAAAAAGTTAATTACATTTCAAAATTTTATCAACCTTCACTATAAAATGAGACGCGTACTATTAGTAAATCTGCACAAAGTTTATCACGTTTTCAAACAAGAAATCTAATGTCATATTTTAGGAACAGATAAAAGTGAAAATGTACAAACGTTGAGGACTGACCAGTTTGATATGAAAATATGTTTCAAGGGAATACCCAACTTCAAAGTTGAAAGTATACATTTTATTTGTTTCTTGACTTGACTGTTGATAAAATGCTACAGTGTTTTTGTAATTTAAAAGCAAACGGAGGTATAAAATAAAAGTTAGCGGGCGCTTCGAACTATATATCGTAAAATCCCACTCCTGGTATTTGAAATTTAACGTTTTCTGTGGAAGCATGTAATTTGATACTTTGTCACTCCCCCTTGGGCAATCAATTTTTGTAGAGTCACGTGACCAGCCGATACCAGGGTCTTTCCCAAAAAGACCCTGGGTACGAGGATGGTAAATGGGGTCTGAAATATTGAAAGATTTAATTAACGCGATTCATTTTCGACGCTTCGCTAAGGCTAAAATCTGTGAATAATTATGTACCGATAGAGCTGCAAGACAACTAAATAAAACTTAAAACCATGGCGTCTTAAAACAATATCTCGTGCCTAAATCGTTTAGTAAAAACAAGGTGAGACTTCCATTCAGGCATATGTTCGCTGCCATGAAGTTTTCGCTCTTTTCTTTTATTCTGACTTAGCAAAATTCAATAATTTTATCATGTCATCTCAATGTAAATTTGGTTTCAGTCAATGTATATCAAAGATCTGCCCACCAAGATACTTGTCTATACCTACTGTATAAGTTGCTGAGATTTCATGAGTGTTTGACTAAATCTCAGCTATTTAAGGTGGCTTGGTGGTGTTTTACTAAAACTAATTAGCAAGTTTTAATCATGAGAATCCACGAAAACACTTCTCAAAGGCCGAGTAGTGTTATTAAACACTTTGTTTCAATTTTAAAATCATTCTGAGCATTTATACTCTAATATCTGAAAGTTTGATGTAATTTTGTAGGACAGTTTTTGTGTTAGCATGACTTTTTCAGCTGTTGAGTCTTACTTTATTCTGACTTAGCAAAATTCAATAATTTTATCATGTCATCTCAATGTAAATTTGGTTTCATTCAATGTATATCAAAGATCTGCCCACCAAGATACTTGTCTATACCTACTGTATAAGTTGTTGAGATTTCATGAGTGTTTGACTAAATCTCAGCCATTTAAGGTCGCTTGTAGCCTGTGTACAGCCGTAAATTCTCCCGTAATTAACGTCTGTGAACAATTGCAGCTAATGCTGTACAGTGACGTCACCATTATTTTGTTTTTCTATAACACGCTGTAATTGGTTCATATGGTATTAGGGTGTAATGGTCGTTTTTATTGGTCCAAATTGTGTAATTGCGCAATGAGGCACAAATTCAAGATGGCGGTGTATAGAGGCGAAACTCATGACAATCTTTGGGGAAAAGCGATTGAAAGAATAAAAAACGTGTTTGGAATACCTTCTTTACATGCTGAACAAGAAGAGGCATTAAGACAGTTCTTTTCTAACCAAGACGTGTTTGTGAACCTTCCAACATCATTTGGAAAATCCCTTATTTTTCAAGCTACACCAATCATGGCAGATGTTGTCCTTCGAAGAAGTGAAGGAACATGCATTGTTATTGTTATTTCACCACTGAAATCTTTAATGGAAGATCAAGTTCGCCATCTAAAGAATCTAAATATATCTGCAGTGAGTGTTACTGATGAACACAATGATAGAATCGTTGGCGATATTATTGATGGAAAATACACTCATGTGTATGGTTCACCAGAATGTTTTCTCAAAACTACATGGAGGGGATTATTCTCGAGCAAACAATTTAGATCCTCTTTGGTGTGTGTTGCTGTTGATGAAGCACATTGCATCAGTCAATGGTAAGTGCGTCATATAAATGGATTTGGAATATATATTTTTTGAATTTCTTGATATATATTGGGCCATTCCATTTAATATAGGCACCCCCGTATTGAGGGGTCTGGAAATCCTTTGAGGGGGCAGGGGGTTTTTATCTTAAAATTTCCTAGAGGGCAGCTTAAAACATTTTCAAAAAAATAGCAAAAATTAGGTGTTTTAGTGATATCCAAGGGGGTAAAAACGATATCCTAGAGGGGGTATAAAGATATCCATGGGGATAACTTCCAAAAATCACATCCAAGGGCATTCTAAATTTTTTATATCCTAAGGGGATTATGAAGGGACCCCTCAATAGGAGGGGGGGGTGCCTATATTAAATGGAATGGCCCATTATATATACATCTCTCTTGCTTGTACATGTATATTTGACATGCTTTGTTAGAGTTTATAGTGTTTAATGTTTTTAATTATTTAATTATAGATGAAGTAATTTTATAGATACTGTATTTTCTACTTTTTGTTTTAAAGGGGCCTGCCTGGTGCTAAGAAATGTGAACTTCCATTCCGGAAGTGGTATGGCAATCTTGGGGAATTAAGATCTCTTGTTCTCGGTGATGTTAAGATGATTGTAGCAACAGCGTCAGCAAGTAAAGATACCAAAGCTCTCGTATATGAAAGTTTGAAATTGAATAATGATACTTACATTGTATCTAAGTCTCCGGATCAAATGAATTTAACTTACTGTGTACAATATACAGATAAGGACACTCCTTTGGAAACACTTTTTTCTGAAATAATTGAGAATGTCAAGAGTAAAGGTATATGTGCCTCAAGAACTATTATTTACTGTCAAACACGTAAACAGTGTGCTATTTTGTATCGTGTGTTCGAGACCAACCTGGGTACATCATTTTACAAGGATGCAGTGCCAAACTGTAAGAAACGCTTAGTAGAAATGTACCATGCTGGAACTCCAAAAACAGTAAAACAACATATATCCAAGAACTTGTCAAGTGACGAAGGTCATATAAGAATTCTCATTGCAACCATAGCATTTGGAATGGGGATTGACTGCAAGCAAGTGAACAGAATTATACACTTTGGACCATCCAAAAATATTGAGTGTTACATTCAAGAAAGTGGGCGGGCAGGAAGAGATGGATCCCAAAGTGAATGTATCTTATTATTTAATGGCTTGCTATCTTCACATTGTTCCCAAGACATGAAAGACCTCCTTCATGCTGAAAGTGGTTGTAGAAGGGAATTGATAATGAAAACATTTGGATTTACCCCAGCAGTAGGCATAAAAAACAAACACACTTGTTGTGACAAATGTGCCAAGAAATGCAGTTGTGGTGAGGATTGTAAATTAGGACTGGGTCTTAAATTTCATGATGGGACAGTTAGCATAAATGAGACCCCTCGACAAACACGACCTGTCAGTCGGGACCAAAAGAAACTATTAGAAAGAGAGTTAAAGTCATTTAGAGATAATCTAATCAGAGAACATAAAGCAAAGGTACTGAATACTGTCTCGCTACCAACCTCCTTGCTTGAATTTGGAAAACTTATATATAAACTTATAAGCATAATTGAAAACTGTCACAAAATATTTTCCATTTCGGATGTCATGCAATATGTTGAAGTCTGGCGTAAATCACATGCATTTGGAATTTTAACAGCCATAAATGATGTATTTAATGACATTAGCGATATTCCTGTTTCGGAAAGTTTATCTGAATCAGATGAAATAATAGGGGACATGGACTGGGAAGAAATTCACCATGATTCAACATTATTTTCACTGTTTGATTCGGATGATGAAAGCATGGAAGTAGACGAAACACTAGAATCTGGGGAAGGATCACTGAACAACAGCAGCTTTTTTCTTAATTTAGCAATTAACAGTTAAACTTTAACGTAAGTACATAACATCTTATAGTCTGCAATGGCAGAATGATCTCAGCTGACCCCCTGGAGTGGCTGAGAAACAGTCTGCGATCAATCAATACTAATGCCCCCAGTTATGTAAGCAGTAGTTTGCATAATTATTATACATAACAGTGTAATTTATGCAATTTTCGGCATGATCACAAAGGGATAATTTTAACCAATCATATACCACACTAACAACTATTTTTCGACTATGATAGGCTATAGAATGAAAGCATGATGATAGACTATAGAATGAGCTAATTATATTGTATTATATTTAAACAAGAAGTGGTCAGGTGGTGACAATGTAAATCCCCAAATATTTTGCAAAGTCATGTCAACCTCTGTGCTCAATGGATACCATTGAAAAGGCCATTGGTACGAACATTTAACAATTATTCGCCGAAGGCGAGGTGATTATTAGCCTGTGTACAGCCGTAAATTAGAATTTACGGCTGTACACAGGCTAGGTGATTATCTGTGAGTAGTTGTCGAGACAAAGTCGAGGTGAATATTCCTCGATAATCACTGAGCCTGAGGCGAATAATTGTTTTAGTATTTTTGCACAAGTTTTTTGTGTTTTTCTGGTCTGAATTCATTTTAATTTCGCTTATTTCTTTATCACTAACTTCAACAAAACGGCTAGCCGCCACTTTGAAAATTTCGATTTTGTTATATTCACCTGTAAGTATTCACCTGTAAGTGAATATAACAGATTAATATGTCAAATTAGACCAATAACCTTGTAGGATTTGTTATGTTCACTTCTGCAAAAATACTAATGAATAATATTAGAATGGAAAGAAGTTATGAAAACCCCAACCAAATAACAAGTAACTACTAACAGTATTGTATGTACAAATAGTAAGAAATTGTATAAAGTTTGTACAGTGTCTATGTGTTCTGCTCAAGTTCTACCATGATTATTAACGAGCACGCTACGCAACAAAATTTGTTTCTTGTGCTGGTTTATCCAGTTGTACATATTTTGTAAGTCAAATCCAGCCAACAAGCTGGCTTTGCATCCTCCATAATAGCGATAGGATCGTCCTGACATTTTCACAAGTGCCTTTTGATGTAAAAGTTCCTTGACAATTGTTTGCAAGTCTTTACTTACAGGTCGTGGCACATGTTTTCCAGAGGTTTTGTACATTTTTACAGCAGTATCAAAGTTCTCCATTAGTGCCTTGGTTACTGACATGCTATGACAAATCCTGTCAATTGACCTTTTGCTTGCATTTGGGCCAAGTTTTTTAATGGCCTCTTTTACAACTCTGTTTAAGAATTCCAGATTCAAATCAAGAGAAATGTTACCACCAGACCCCTTCTTTGTTTTTACAAACCTGTTCCAAATAAGCTGGTGGGCAGAGCGGGGGGATAGCAAGGCATAAATCTGAAACATCATGTAGAGTACTTCGAGTGAATACTTTACACTACCATTATCATGTTTGAAATACAGGAGAAGAAACTTCCAGCATCTTAAAATTCTCTGCCCATCACCTAGTGAGGATACAGAAATTATTATTGATAAATTGTCAAAAAATTATCATTAAAAAGCAATACTACCAGCCAGGTAGGATAAAATAATAAAGTATGGATGACATTAGGGCCCATGGGCATGCGGCAAAAAGGTATTAACATTCATATGCATCATATCAGTTCAAATAGCACCTACATTATGGGTAAGATAGTAAAGATACCAGTTACCAATTAAATTTAAAAAAAAACACTATAAATAAAAAGGTTGTGCTCTCACGAGTCAGAGTGTCATATGTAGCCTTGGTTTAAGTCCATCTCGTAAAGGGTTGAAAATATCAGCGCAAGCCTGAAGAGAGAAAAGGCATGAAATTGAGATATACTGTAAAGAGGAATTTCTCGGCTCGTTTGTACCACTGTTTTGGTGTTTTCGTTCCTTTTAGAGACGCGGACTTGAACCAAGTCTACTGTATGTCTAGCTGTTTATTGGCTTGATTCTGAGAATGCTTAATACCTTCACTAATAGCATCCTGTAAATTTGCAATAATCATCCCATACTCCATAAGTGCTTTTTGATAGTTGAACATGTCATCAACTTCTTCAGGTTTGTCTTCAAAAAATAAATCAGATCGCACATCTTCGTCAGGAATTTCGACAGGCGGGTCATGCTTCAATTCGTGATTTCGCCGATGCTGTCCATCCTTAGCAAAAGTATATTTGCATCCTGGGAAACGACAGATGTATCTACCATCATCAGTGATGTACGTTCTTTGCTCATTCGCTTTAATTTCCAATTGACTGCATGCTTTGACAAAGTTGTCATGTTTTTCTTTGTCAAGAACGTAACTGTCTACAATAGTTGTTGCAAGCTTTCTTAGATAATTTTTCTTCTCTCCCCTGGACCAGGACTGGGTATCAGGCAAATTGGAATTATCAGGTGTATCGTTGATATCATCAATACCCAGTTCTATTAACCCAGCAGCGACCAATCTTGCTTCAACTTCCATTGAAAAAAATCTGCGACATGCATTGACATTAGACTCAACATCAGCCTTGACATTTCTACGGTTTATCAAGTTTCTGTCACTATATAATGTACACTTGTCACTCGAGGAAGCAGTGCTGTACAATTTGGAGAATGCTACCTGTAAAATTAAAATTTAGCAGTGTGAACTATAACAAATTATAATCATAATGTATTCATGGTGATGGGTAGTGGTGTGCAAACTCTGGTTTAACTCCGGCTCCTGTTCCAGCTGTTTTACAAAACTGAACTTCGGTTACGGCCTGTTGGTTAACAACTTGAAACAAACTCTAAGTGGGTATTTTTTTTTGTCATTTAACCTTGTACACATAGTTATGAATTCGGTCATTATTGTGACCAAAACTTTGCCGATATTTGTGTACTTGAACAAAATTGCTATTTTTTATTTTTAGCAAGTCTGCCAAAAAAACACTGACAAAAATGCCTTTTGCACTCAGAGACGGATTTTCATATTTTCGTGGATACATATCGGATAAATATTTGGATAAATATCGGGGGGGGGGGAGTCCGGCTGCTTGCTTTGGCTGGGGCGTGGTGGCAACGCCCGGAAAGGCCAAGGAAAAAGTTTAACGAAATTTGTTTCTAGGCCTGCATGGCGAGATTGAGACCATAATATTGGTAATTTTACAAATTTTGTAGTAAGAATAATCAAATATGAAACTATCAAATCAAAATATATATAATTTGCATGGGTGCAAAAACTTTTGGGGGCGGTGCCAAATGCCTCTGGGGGGGGTGCAAATAATTTCTGGGGGGTGCACACCCCCCCCCCTGACCCCCAGAAAATCCGTGCCTGCTTGCACTCCAGTGCACAGCACTAGCGATGGGCCTACATGTAGTGTCAACAATATCTGTAGAGCCTGCTTATATTTCCGCACAAAAAGGTTGCAGAGAAAATGCAAGTCGCAACAAAATTGCAAGACAAATTGCATAATATAATATCTCCTTTAGGAACATTTTTGTCAAATCCCATGACTGAAAATTGCACGTTACTACAGAGTATTAAGGAAAACATGGGAAAACGTTTAGGTTGATGGTCTTCAGCCTAAAACCTTTCAGAATAAAGGTCTTTGCCTGAATTATCTTTTTACCTTTTTGTATAGTTTCATCTCGACATTGACAGCTTGGCAATTGTTGGCACTACTGCACATTATTCATACAGTATTTACATAAATAAATAGAGCGCCAAATTTACTTACATCCAAGGCTTTATTCACACCATGCCAATCTGCAAATTCAAAGTGCAAACCCTCCAACCTCTCCTTGGGAGTGAATCCATTGCTGAGTGTGTTGTGTGCATTAACCCCTCTCTCTACAGTAAGTTGGTCACCTACAATGGCTTGATCTGCATACTCACGATTGCGACCTTTACCAACATATGGAACATATCCATGCAGCTCTTTCAGAATCGATGTAATTCCTTCAGCATCATTTTCGTTATGGTATATAACTCCAAGAAATGTCTGTGTGGAAAAGAAAACAGCATGAATATAATCTGCTGTGCCTCTGAGACATGGTAAACTATGATGGGGTATATTCACATATATTGCCAGTTATGGAATTCAGTGTGGATTATAACGGTCGGCAATTGGGTATTTTCCGAAAGAAAACACTGAATGTCTGATCATGATCAATTTCATTCTGCATGGACATTTAGAATACACAATTACATCAATTGCAATGTTAATACGTCAAATTAATGTTCTCGTATGATTTTCTGAAATAGTTTTACCCATTTTATCTATTTTATCCATGTGCAAAATAACAGAAATATTTTACAAGTGTTTATAGAGTTTTGAAAGCATAATGAGAGGAATCTTATTCTGCAAATAGATATTACAGTTAAGTAGTCGACTCACAAGCTAATTTGAGCATGAAAATTTCAATTTTGCTAAAAAAGTGCAAACACGCTGCCTTGTGTTTAGCATGCATCAATACTTACAGATTCAGTTGGTTCTCTTGTCTCCTTGCTATACATATGTGGGATATGATTCACAGCGACATCCTTAAATGGCTCTAAACAAGGTATGTTCTGAGAAAGAACTCGTTCTACAATTTGAATATAGTTATCTCGTTGGGAAATTTGTTCCATATGAGTTGGAATACATTTTCCATTTTCCATATTATTCAATAGATCACCCTGCTGCAAGTGGCTTAAATGATTACCATTTACTCGATTCCTTGTAGCACAAACTGTTAAGAAATGTTTATCTTCGGTTTGATGCTCTTGCGTCATATAATGGACTTGCTGCCGATAATCGATGTTGTCGATGGTGATCTTTTGACCAACAGGATGAGAAGGAAGTGGACCATGTCTTAACTCAGGCATTTGGTCAATTTCAGTACAAGAGTCATCACTGGATTGAGATTTTTCAGACTCTTCGTCATCAATAGCAGATGTTGGTTGTTGTGATTCCATCCACTCACGTTCTTTCTGCATCATGGACTTCACTGATTTATCATGACCCTCGCCATATTCCTCCAGCTTTCGATAAAGCTGATTATGTGACACAACCAATCGTAACGACTTTAATCTACGCATCATTGGCTATTGTAAATAATATAAAATTTCAGACATGTTTGAATAGGCTAAATTTACAATCATGGCACAGGCTACGTAGTATATTCAATCAATTGCTGATTAATTTGCAATTGATACCATCTTGGTTTATTTTTCAAAAACACCAGGCAACCATACATTTTTTTCTTTAGTCTTTGTGATATTACGGTAGATACTGTAAAACTATTCATACTACAGGAAACTAAATTTTCAAAACATTACACAGAAAATATTAAACTCGCTGCAAACAGCTAAAATAAACCAATGTGATACCCAATAAGACGTCATGTTCAACTCAAGTGACGTCACGTGAAAGCCGATAAGAGGGGTAGGTTAGCTTATTGATTTAGGTGAAATATAACAGACCGGTAAGAAGCAGAGTAAAATGGCCTTCCAGCATAATGTTAGCATAATGTGAGCCTTTTCTGTCCAGTAAAATCATCTGTCGTAATTAAAATGAAAACACTAACGTAGGGTGCATTGAAAATTTGAAATGTATTTTAATTAATATAGGCTTATTAAGGAGTATTTGAGAGGGCCTGATTTGGAAAAAGCCAAAAAGGGGTTTATTAATACACAAATTAATACATACCGACCAACTAGAATGATATAAGAAGATACTCAAGAGTAGTTGCACAGCATTCAGTTGCGACGACTTATTTCTCAAGATTACTGCAGCAGCCATGCCAAGAGAGGGGACCCATTCACTTCTTTTATTGCAGTTTCTATTGTTTACACAAGATGTACGCAAAATTGCATGGGTAAAGGGAGCTCTTTGCTCCAGTTCTTTTTCAAGCTTTTCAAACGAAAAGTCGAGCAGTTGATTTTTATTTGGAGAGCGCAAACAACTTGGTTTCTTCTTGGAGCATAAACTATGGCATTCATTATCAACATGCTTCACTGCCAGAATTTGTAGTTGCTTGCGAAGATTAAGGTTATTCCAAGCAGCATTAGCGATTTGCTTATATGTTCCACGCACTAGCATTTTACCTAGGGATTGCAGATCATTTGGTAAATTTCTTCCCCTTGTTTGGCTAGGATATTGTATATTAACGGTGACAACAGTGGATGTACTTGTACTTGTCTCAGCTGAAACCTCGACTGGGGTTAGCGTATCACTACTGGTTGTGGCTGCGCTGTTGGATGGAACTTTTTTTGGTGTAGAATGAGCAATATATAACGAAGTCGACTGTAGGATATCTCTTGATGAACAGTCTGCTTTCCCTGAAACTGGTGACAAAGGTGGTATTAAGAATATAGGCTCTACACGCGGTCTCTTTGCCGCATCTGCACGCTGAAGTGATTCAACCGAGAGCTCCGTTTCTTCCCTATTTTTCGCGCAGTTTTCTCTAGATTTGTAGATATTCTCTAAATTTTCTAAATGTTCATTCAATTGCCTGTTCAGATTTTCTAGCTTCTTGAGTTTATCCAAGCACGGTCTACAGATGTAAATTGAATCAATTTCTATGTTGAAAGGAAGCTTCGATAGAGATGTCCGTATATCAAATTTTGCCTTTCCATCGACAAGTAGGCGGTTATTGGCTTTCTGTATTACATTATGACAAAAAACACAGCTCATTTGTGTTATTATGCAAATGAAGAAGTATCAGAGATCAGAGTATGTTTCTATACCAAGCTGAACAAGTGGAGCATGAAATTTAACCACTCATAAACATGACGCCATTTTGTTTCTGCTCTCGTGTTTTTCTGCATAATTATTCCGTACAAGCTTTCGTGCAATTGTTCACAGACGTTAATTACGGGAGAATTTACGGCTGTACACAGGCTAGGTCGCTTGGCGGTGTTTTACTAAAACTAATTAGCAAGTTTTAATCATGAGAATCCAACGAAAACACTTCTCAAAGGCCAAGTAGTGTTATTAAACACTTTGTTTCAATTTTAAAATCATTCTGAGCATTTATACTCTAATATCCGAAAGTTTCATGTAATTTTGTAACAGAGTTTTTGTGTTAGCATGACTTTTTCAGCTGTTGAGTCTTACTTTATTCTGACTTAGCAAAATTCAATAATTTTATCATGTCATCTCAATGTAAATTTGGTTTCAGTCAATGTATATCAAAGATCTGCCCACCAGGATACTTGTCTATACCTACTGTATAAGTTGCTGAGATTTCATGAGTGTTTGACTAAATCTCAGCCATTTAAGGTGGCTTGGTTGTGTTTTACTAAAACTAATTAGCAAGTTTTAATCATGAGAATCCAACGAAAACACTTCTCAAAGGCCGAGTAGTGTTATTAAACACTTTGTTTCAATTTTAAAATCATTCTGAGCATTTATACTCTAATATCTGAAAGTTTGATGTAATTTTGTAGGACAGTTTTTGTGTTAGCATGACTTTTTCAGCTGTAGTCTTACTTTATTCTGACTTAGCAAAATTCAATAATTTTATCATGTCATCTCAATGCAAATTTGGTTTCATTCAATGTATATCAAAGATCTGCCCACCAAGATACTTGTCTATACCTACTGTATAAGTTGCTGAGATTTCATGAGTGTTTGACTAAATCTCAGCCATTTAATTTAGGGTGGCTTGGTCGTGCTTTACTAAACTAATTAGCAAGTTTTAATCATGAGAATCCAATGAAAACACTTCTCAAAGGCCGAGTAGTGTTATTACTTTGTTTCAATTTTAAAATCATTCTGAGCATTTATACTCTAATATCTGAAAGTTTGATGTAATTTTGTAAGGCAGTTTTTGTGTTAGCATGACTTTTTCAGCTGTTGAGTCTTACTTTATTCTGACTTAGCAAAATTCAATAATTTTATCATGTCATCTCAATGTAAATTTGGTTTCAGTCAATGTATATCAAAGATCTGCCCACCAAGATACTTGTCTGTACCTACTGTATAAGTTGCTGAGATTTCATGAGTGTTTGACTAAATCTCAGCCATTTAAGGTGGCTTGGTTGTGTTTTACTAAAACTAATTAGCAAGTTTTAATCATGAGAATCCAACGAAAACACTTCTCAAAGGCCGAGTAGTGTTATTAAACACTTTGTTTCAATTTTAAAATCATTCTGAGCATTTATACTCTAATATCTGAAAGTTTCATGTAATTTTGTAAGGCAGTTTTTGTGTTAGCATGACTTTTTCAGCTGTTGAGTCTTATTTTTTTCTGGCTTAGCAAAATTCAATAATTTTATCATATGTCATCTCAATGTAAATTTGGTTTCATTCAATGTATATCAAAGATCTGCCCACCAAGATACTTGTCTATACCTACTGTATAAGTTGCTGAGATTTCATGAGTGTTCGACTAAATCTCAGCCATTTAATTTAAGGTGGCTTGGTTGTGTTTTACTAAACTAATTAGCAAGTTTTAATCATGAGAATCCAACGAAAACACTTCTCAAAGGCCGAGTAGTGTTATTAAACACTTTGTTTCAATTTTAAAATCATTCTGAGCATTTATACTCTAATATCTGAAAGTTTGATGTAATTTTGTAGGACAGTTTTTGTGTTAGCATGACTTTTTCAGCTGTAGTCTTACTTTATTCTGACTTAGCAAAATTCAATAATTTTATCATGTCATCTCAATCTAAATTTGGTTTCATTCAATGTATATCAAAGATCTGCCCACCAAGATACTTGTCTATACCTACTGTATAAGTTGCTGAGATTTCATGAGTGTTTGACTAAATCTCAGCCATTTAATTTAGGGTGGCTTGGTCGTGCTTTACTAAACTAATTAGCAAGTTTTAATCATGAGAATCCAACGAAAACACTTCTCAAAGGCCGAGTAGTGTTATTACTTTGTTTCAATTTTAAAATCATTCTGAGCATTTATACTCTAATATCTGAAAGTTTGATGTAATTTTGTAAGGCAGTTTTTGTGTTAGCATGACTTTTTCAGCTGTTGATCGAGTCTTACTTTATTCTGACTTAGCAAAATTCAATAATTTTATCATGTCATCTCAATGTAAATTTGGTTTCAGTCAATGTATATCAAAGATCTGCCCACCAAGATACTTGTCTATACCTACTGTATAAGTTGCTGAGATTTCATGAGTGTTGACTAAATCTCAGCCATTTAAGGTCGCTTGGCAGTGTTTTACTAAAACTAATTAGCAAGTTTTAATCATGAGAATCCAACGAAAACACTTCTCAAAGGCCGAGTAGTGTTATTAAACACTTTGTTTCAATTTTAAAATCATTCTGAGCATTTATACTCTAATATCCGAAAGTTTCATGTAATTTTGTAACAGAGTTTTTGTGTTAGCATGACTTTTTCAGCTGTAGTCTTACTTTATTCTGACGTAGCAAAATTCAATAATTTTATCATGTCATCTTAATGTAAATTTGGTTTCATTCAATGTATATCAAAGATCTGCCCACCAAGATACTTGTCTATACCTACTGTATAAGTTGCTGAGATTTCATGAGTGTTTGACTAAATCTCAGCCATTTAATTTAGGGTGGCTTGGTCGTGTTTTACTAAACTAATTAGCAAGTTTTAATCATGAGAATCCAACGAAAACACTTCTCAAAGGCCGAGTAGTGTTATTAAACACTTTGTTTCAATTTTAAAATCATTCTGAGCATTTATACTCTAATATCTGAAAGTTTGATGTAATTTTGTAGGCAGTTTTTGTGTTAGCATGACTTTTTCAGCTGTAGTCTTACTTTATTCTGACTTAGCAAAATTCAATAATTTTATCATGTCATCTCAATGTAAATTTGGTTTCATTCAATGTATATCAAAGATCTGCCCACCAAGATACTTGTCTATACCTACTGTATAAGTTGCTGAGATTTCATGAGTGTTTGACTAAATCTCAGCCATTTAATTTAGGGTGGCTTGGTCGTGCTTTACTAAAACTAATTAGCAAGTTTTAATCATGAGAATCCAACGAAAACACTTCTCAAAGGCCGAGTAGTGCTATTAAACACTTTGTTTCAATTTTAAAATCATTCTGAGCATTTATACTCTAATATCTGAAAGTTTCATGTAATTTTGTAAGGCAGTTTTCGTGTTAGCATGACTTTTTCAGCTGTTGAGTCTTACTTTATTCTGACTTAGCAAAATTCAATAATTTTATCATATGTCATCTCAATGTAAATTTGGTTTCATTCAATGTATATCAAAGATCTGCCCACCAAGATACTTGTCTATACCTACTGTATAAGTTGCTGAGATTTCATGAGTGTTTGACTAAATCTCAGCCATTTAATTTAGGGTGGCTTGGTCGTGTTTTACTAAAACTAATTAGCAAGTTTTAATCATGAGAATCCAACGAAAACACTTCTCAAAGGCCGAGTAGTGTTATTAAACACTTTGTTTCAATTTTAAAATCATTCTGAGCATTTATACTCTAATATCCGAAAGTTTCATGTAATTTTGTAAGGCAGTTTTTGTGTTAGCATGACTTTTTCAGCTGTAGTCTTACTTTATTCTGACGTAGCAAAATTCAATAATTTTATCATGTCATCTCAATGTAAATTTGGTTTCATTCAATGTATATCAAAGATCTGCCCACCAAGATACTTGTCTATACCTACTGTATAAGTTGCTGAGATTTCATGAGTGTTTGACTAAATCTCAGCCATTTAATTTAGGGTGGCTTGGTCGTGCTTTACTAAAACTAATTAGCAAGTTTTAATCATGAGAATCCAACAAAAACACTTCTCAAAGGCCGAGTAGTGTTATTAAACACTTTGTTTCAATTTTAAAATCATTCTGAGTATTTATACTCTAATATCTGAAAGTTTCATGTAATTTTGTAAGGCAGTTTTCGTGTTAGCATGACTTTTTCAGCTGTAGTCTTACTTTATTCTGACTTAGCAAAATTCAATAATTTTATCATATGTCATCTGAATGTAAATTTGGTTTCATTTGATGTATATCAAAGATCTGCCCACCAAGATACTTGTCTATACCTACTGTATAAGTTGCTGAGATTTCATGAGTGTTTGACTAAATCTCAGCCATTTAATTTAGGGTGGCTTGGTCGTGCTTTACTAAAACTAATTAGCAAGTTTTAATCATGAGAATCCAACAAAAACACTTCTCAAAGGCCGAGTAGTGTTATTAAACACTTTGTTTCAATTTTAAAATCATTCTGAGCATTTATACTCTAATATCTGAAAGTTTCATGTAATTTTGTAAGGCAGTTTTCGTGTTAGCATGACTTTTTCAGCTGTAGTCTTACTTTATTCTGACTTAGCAAAATTCAATAATTTTATCATATGTCATCTCAATGTAAATTTGGTTTCATTCAATGTATATCAAAGATCTGCCCACCAAGATACTTGTCTATACCTACTGTATAAGTTGCTGAGATTTCATGAGTGTTTGACTAAATCTCAGCCATTTAATTTAGGGTGGCTTGGTCGTGCTTTACTAAAACTAATTAGCAAGTTTTAATCATGAGAATCCAACAAAAACACTTCTCAAAGGCCGAGTAGTGTTATTAAACACTTTGTTTCAATTTTAAAATCATTCTGAGCATTTATACTCTAATATCTGAAAGTTTCATGTAATTTTGTAAGGCAGTTTTCGTGTTAGCATGACTTTTTCAGCTGTAGTCTTACTTTATTCTGACTTAGCAAAATTCAAT